GCTCAAGGTAGACCTTGGCCAAGCGCAGCTTCTTCTCCTGTGCAGTCTCCTCCAGCTCCTCTTCCTCCTCCTCCTCAGTCCTCCTGGGAGCTAGACTGTGGGCAGGAGCGGGCTGGGTTTGAGGAGGTTTGGCCCGCTCCTCTGGCCACTAGGACTCTGCCTCCTCACTGCTTTTCCTGCCACTTGACCACCTCCATCCCTGCCAGCCCTCATGGCCAGTGAGCACACACACAGAAAACTGAAAAAATATGTGACTTACCAAACTGAAAGGGTCCATCCAAGGACCAACATAAGGGTGAAAATAGACCCCAAACCCAAAGACACAACTGTGAAATCTCTCAACTCCGGAGGGAAAGAGAAGGTTCTATAGGTCCAAGAAAAATCAGATCATGTTCAAAGGGTCAAGAATCAAAATGACTCCAGACATCCCTCAACACCAGCCCTGAGAGCAGGAAACAAAGGAGCTACACACACAAGATTTGGAGTAAAATGCTAACCACTGGAACGGCATGCCAAATTAAACAATCAGTGATGAACGAAGATATTTTCAGGTGTACAAGGTGCCAGAGAATTGGTCCCTCCTCCTCCTTTTAAGGATGGAGGGTGTGCTTCCCGAACGAGAAGAGTGACCTAAGAATGGGGAAGGTGTGAAAGTGTTAGCTGCTCAGTCATGTTTGACTCTTTGCAACCTCATGGACTGTAGCCCACCAGGCTCCTCTGTTCACAGAATCCTCTGTGAATACTGAGAGTGGGCTGCCATTCCCTTCTCCAGGGGAGCTTTCCAACCCAGGGATAGAACCTAGGTCTTCTGCATTACAGGCTGATTCTTTACTGTCTGAGCCAGGCATGGGAGACATGAAACAGAAGATCCAACGTGGAAAGCAGAAAAGGTAGATCTCAAAACAAGAACCACCCCCAGACACAAGGGAGCCGCCAACCCAGATCTGACGTGAGGAACCAAGAGGCAGACATATTGGGACTATCATCACCCCATCCTCACTGCTGAAGCACCATCCTCTACCCTGAGGATGGGATTCCAGCTGAAGCTTGACTGGGTCTGGCTTGATCTTGAGAAGATCTTGATTTCCCCTCCACACCCCTCACTTAAGATGACTCCTATGCTGACTTGCTCCTTGGAGCTGGAGGTAAGTCATGGGAACTCAGAAGCAGAAAACCCAGGGCCGCCTGTTCCCTCTGATCATCTGCCTGCAGATATCTAGTCCCTGTCAGGTACCCCGACCGTTTCCAAGACTCGTCCATGACCTTGCCCACAGCTTCCCCAGAAGGGACATTGGAAATTCTCAAGGAAGCCAAGGCCTCATGCTCTTAAGACCAGTTAGTACCCAGCGCCCAGCAAGTCTTCAGACAGAGTTGGTGCTGCCCTTCTCTCATACGACCGAGGTCTACACATATACTCAGTTTATCCAAAGGAATAAATCTTTGTTTAGGGTTCGCACATAGGAGACAGAACTCCAAAGAAAACCGAGAAGCATACACCATTATAATTCCACTCATATAACGTTCTGGAAAAGGTAAAATTCTAGGACAGTGGTTACCAGAGGGGAGAGAGAGAGACGAACTGACTACAAAGGAGCCAGGGGGAATTTTGGAGGGTGGTAAAACCCTTCTATGTCTTCATTGTGGTGGCAGTTTATATGAGTCTGTTACAACTCACAGAAAGGTACACTAAGAAACAAATATCATTGTATGTAAATTACATCTGAATCAGAAAAGAAAAAAAAAAGGAGATAAAGAAAAAAGAAGGAAACCAAAGAAATTATTAACTCAGGTCAGGAATGGCAGTTGGGTCTTCTACGTTTCTGCACAGGTCTAGTTCTGGTGGGTGCACAGAGGTCCATCATTTCATCATTACTGTCTATGGTACAATTACATTTCATGAACTCTTCTGTAGCTAATAAATTTCACAACACATTTTGAAAACATTTATAAGTGCTTCACATGGGGCCTGGCACACACCCGCGATAACCTCAGGACCACAAAAAGTAAAGAAACTCCTGCGAGCAGGTTAACATGTACTCAATATTGAGAGGCAGAATTTCTAAAGCCAACTTTAAAAAAATAATAATTTAACATTTCAATTTATTTATTTTTTGGTTGCAGTAGGTCTTTGTTGCTGTGCGTGAGCTTTTTCTAGGTGTGACAAGTGGGGACTATTCTCTAGTTGTGGTGCATGAGCTTCTCACTGTGGTGACTTCTCTGAAGAACACAGGCTCCAGGTTGTGTGGGCTCAGTAGTTGTGGCACACAGTCTTAGTTGCCCTGTGGCATGTGGAATCTTCCCAGACCAGGGATTGAACCCATATTGGCAGGTGGTTTCTTAGCCACCGGACCACCGGGGAAGTCCTCTTAAAGCCAACTATTAAGGAAGGCACCGGGATTTCCTGGTGTGACAGCTTCCATTCCACAAGGTCAGGCCTGACACCTTGCTAGCCCCCTTTCAACTCTGCAGTATGTTTCACCCCCACCACCTGCAGAATGAAGGAAGCACACAAAGCCCTTCACAATCTGGATGCATGCACCACCTGCCCTTCCACCCTCTCCATCTTCCATTTAGCCCACTTAACCCCTAGACTTTTCTCTGATCCCTGAATGCCTTCCCTACCTCTCCATAAGGAAGCCCTCCTGATCTCTCCAAGCCTTATTTAAACTCCCCTTCTCTGTTCCCACAACACACAGCTCTAAGATACGCTTCCCATCACAACACACTGTCTTCACCTGCCTGCTCATCTCTGTTCTCAAAACAATGAAACTAGTGCCTGGCACTCTCAGTAACTGAAACTGTGAAAAACTAGCAAGCATTTCTTATATCCTCCCCTTGCCTGGAGTTCAGCTCCCTGTCACGAGCCAGGAAAGTTCAGCAGGTCTCCCATTGGGACTGGGGGTCCTCCCCACACAGAGACCCTGCAGAGAAGGAAATGACAGTTCTCAGGGTCAGAAAGTGGAGGAAAGAGTCAAGACCTGAGATCCTGGGTTCTGGCCCAGTTCTAGCACCCCTTCAACTGAGGATTCCTTCCATACACCATGGGTCCCAGGGTTCCTTTCCACTAGGTGGATAAAAAGAGCTCACCTCTCACTTTCCGAGTCGCTCGAGATCTCCTCATTCATCTTGCCGCCACCCTTGGACTTGCCCTTGTCCCCAAAGGAGTCGCCCTGGGAATTATAGAATACGTTTTTGGTCAGGGGTCCCGACCACTCGGGCTCTGACCAAGAGTCCCTTAGGGTCCCTCGAAAGCCACTGGGAAAGGCGGTGGCCTCTGGCTCAAGTGAAAGGCTTTTCAGGATTTGACGCACGGAGAAAGGGACGAAGCTGACTCCAAACCGGGTCCCGGGGGTGAGGGGACCGGGGCCAGGACCCCCGGATGGGATTAGGGTGGTCCCAATAGGCGGGATAGACCCCCGCCTGCTAAAGAGCCATGCTCACCTTTCGCCGCCGCTTGCCGGCCCCCGCACCAGCCCCGGCCCCTGAGGCCGGCTTTCCCCTCTTACGAGCCGCCCCTGTCGCCGACATGCTGCCCACGGTGCGTGTTGCAGTCCGCCGCCGGAGAACTCACGTGGCGGCTAAACCCGGGCAGTCCCACCAGACTCCCCGCTGGGATAGGCTCCCACCGCCCTGTAGGTCCCGCCTCCCACAGCTCTATTGGGTCCTTGGATAGGTTCTGTCTCGCCCCCAAGCGCCCATAGGGTAAATGCATGTGGCCCCGCCTCCTAAAGCTCCTATAGGCTCCCGCGCCCCGGCTCAGAAGGTAAAGGAAGCAAGTCTTTTTCCGGGGCTTCCGGCCAACGACTGTGGCGCATGCGCCCCGCCGCTGACTGACGTCTGAAGAGGGGTCGGACTCCGAAGCCTTCTCTGTGTTTGCGCCCCTTGGGCGCTGGGGGGCGTCAGAGATGTAGTGTTCCTTTCCCTGGACCGTGACTCCTCCCGGTCAGGGGCGGGAGCCAGGGTGAGAGTCTGACCCCCTAGTAACGGGGGGAGAGGGAGCCAGGCAGTCCCTGGGAGAGGAAGGCAATGCCTGCACCTGCGGCCAAGGTCACTTGACAAACCGGTGGACACGTATTGCATGCCTCAGGCGAGATGTGCAACGCTAAGGGTGCGTCAGTCCCCTGGGCTTTGGCTGTGTCCAGATCAAGTGTCCGCCCATCCATGGGACAGGCTGCCCCTCCTCGGCCTGCCCAGCCTCTGACTCACCAGACTGGTGACCAAATAACTGGAAATCTACCCACACCCAGTTCATCCCTGCTCCCCTAAGGCTTACTTACAGAGGGTTGTTAGAACTGACTGCCTAGGAGGTACTGACCGGGTGGCCACCACTTCTCCCAGGTCCCTGCTTCTCTTAGGTGAGTGCCCTATGGCCCTGCCCACAGCCCTCCACAGCGCAGGGCAGGGCAGGGTGGGTGTGACTGGCTTTTTCCCTCTGGCAGTTCAGTGCCACTGGTCTAGGACCCATACTGGCATCCCAGAAGTCTTGAGTCTGCTGGGAAGTTTCTGTGCTACTGGGTTCCAAGCTCTGGAGAGACAGAACTGGCCTCAGGAGTGCTGCCCCCGGGAGCCACTGCCCACTCTCCTCCATAGCTGGGGTGACTCAGCCCAGCTGCCATGCCAGGTCCAAGTCAGCTGAGAGGGGAGAGGGACAGAGAGTGCTCTGGGAGGAGGAGCCCAGAAGTGGGAGGAGGGAGATTTTCCTTTCACTTTCCCTTCCACCTCTGTACACACAGGAGAGCTAGAGAGGGTGGAGAGCCCCTCTTCCTTAAGCAGACTGGGAAGACTGTACAGAGGCCAGGCCTGGCCCCAGTGACTAGAGAAAGGGGTGTATCCGGGGTGCAGAGATCTGGTTTTGGTCAGGGACCAGGGGCGGGGGGAAATGGAGGCAGAGGGAGGTTACCAAAGGCAAACTCAGGGTGGTGCAAGTTGGTGCTATGCCAGTCAGGTCAGGTACAAAGGCCGTGGAGGTCTGAGGGACTCCTCTGTGCCACAGAACAGCCATGGCTCCAAAGCGCAAGCTCCAAGGGCAGCATGAGGGTCCTGAGAAGAAGGGGCGACAGGGGGCAGAAAAGGAGGACAGTTTCCGTTCCACTGCTGAGGCCCTCAAGGCCGCGCCCACAGAGAAGTGCATAGCCCGAGTGGACCCCTCATGTCCACTCAGCTGCAACCCTGGAACCCAGGTAAGCTGTAGTTCCCGGCCAGTCCCGATGCCTGCTCCCTCCTGGGTATAAGGACATTCAGACCTGCTCCCCACCCCCTTCGCTGTGGCCAGGTGGTTCCAGGCTCCCAAGAAAGCTGTGTTCTCCCGAGACCCCAGAGGTCAGGCAGAGCTATAGCCCATCAGATCCAGGCAGGTCATGTCTGCTCTTCAGACCACAGGGCAAGCCCCTGAGCTTCTCAGGCTTTCCCCTACCACATTTAAGGCAGGGTTCCCGGACAGGGCCTCCTCTGACACCCCAGTGCAGTCTGATTCCTGACAGCGTCCAGCCAGGCACCCCAGAGGTGGCCTGAGCCAGCCTGCCCTCCCTGCACTGCACCCCCTCTGGCCACAGGTGCATGAAGACTACGACTGTACCCTGAACCAAACCAACATTGGGAACAACAACAACAAGTTCTACATCATCCAACTGCTGGAAGAAGGTGACTGCTTCTTCTGCTGGAACCGCTGGGGACGCGTGGTGAGTGCCACCCACCCACCCTGTGCCCACCTCCTCCCCACCTCTCCCTGCTCAGTGCATGCCTGCTGCCCCCAAGGGTCCCCACAGCTTACTCAGGCCGAAAGGCCACAGCCACTGACTGTGGCCCTGCCCCACCTCTGATGCCCAGGGGCACTTGGCACAGACTGGCACAAGAGGCCAGCAAGGATTTATGGCGGGCACTGTGGCTGTCGCTTCCAGGGAGAGGTTGGCCAGTCCAAGCTCAGCCGCTTCGTGTCACTGGAGGATGCGAAGAAGGACTTTGAGAAGAAATTTCGGGACAAGACCAAGAACAGCTGGTCAGAGCGGGACCACTTTGTGGCCCACCCTGGCAAGTATACACTTATCGAAGTGCAGAGAGAAGACGAGGCCCAGGAAGTCATGGTGAAGATGAAGTGGTCAGGGAGGGAGGGTGGGCCTGGGCCGAGGGAGGGGACCACTACTGCCTGGCTGTGCACCCAAAACAGGCCTCGCTCTCTAGCCTCGACCTGCTCTGGCTGCAGGCGCCCAGCCCAGCTGCTTCTGCCCATATGCGTCCTCTACCCCTAGGTGGACGGAGGCCCAGTGAGGGCTGTGGTTCAGCAGGTGCGGCCCTGCTCCTTGGATGCAGCCACACAGAAGCTCATCACCAACATCTTCAGCAAGGACATGTTTCAGAATGCCATGGCCCTCATGAACCTGGGTGAGGAGTTGGGGGCAGGCAGGGTAGCAGGAGCCTAGGGGTGGCAAGGCTGCGAGGCGGTCTCCCCACTCTCCCCATCCCCCCAGATGTGAAGAAGATGCCACTGGGGAAGTTGAGCAAGCAGCAGATCGCCCAGGGGTTCGAGGCCTTGGAGGCAGTGGAGGCAGCCCTGAAAGCCCCCGCAGATGGTGGGCGCAGCCTAGAGGAACTGTCCTCCCACTTCTATACCGTCATTCCCCACAACTTCGGCCGCAGCCGGCCCCCGCCCATCAACTCCCCTGAGCTTCTACAGGCCAAGAAGGACATGTTGCTGGTGAGGGCTGGCAGGTTACAAAGCAGACAGACGGGGAAAGGGAGATGGGGGACAGAGAGAAGGAGTGTAACGAGCAGGCTGAAGGACAGAGGAGGGGAAGGCTATAGATGGAGTGCGGCTGAATAGGTAAGACACACAGGTGGGGCAGCCATGGTCCTAGTCAGGTGGGAGGGCAAGGGAGGCTCAAGGGGACAGCCAGGCTGCCAATGCCCATCACCTTAGGTGCTGGCGGACATCGAGCTGGCACAGACCCTGCAGGCAGCCCCCGAGGAGACAAAGAAAGTGGAGGAGGTGCCTCACCCACTGGACCGAGATTACCAGCTCCTCAAGTGCCAGCTCCAGCTGCTGGACCCAGAGATGCCTGAGTACAAGGTGGGCTGGGCCCCGCAGAGAAGCCGAGCTAGCAGTGGGCACTGTTCCTCTGCCTGTCTGCCCTCCAGGTGCCCAGAGGGGTCCCTCGCCCTGGGCCTTCTCTCGCTGTGTCTCCAGGCCCTGAGGAGAGCCCTGGGGCTGGGGGACAAGAGGAGGTTGGTCCACATGTCTCTTGCTCTTGACACCCAACTTCTGCTGTCCCTGCAGGTGATACATGCCTACTTAAAACAGACTAGCAACAGCTGCAGGCCCCCTGCTCTTCAACACGTTTGGAAAGTGGACCGAGAAGGGGAGGTGAGGGAGAGTCCCCCCATTACCACTACCTTCTCCCTGAGAGAGATGGCCTTGGCTTACCCACTCCTTAGGGAGTAGGCTGAGCCACTCTGACCAGTTTCCACCAGGCCTAGGTCTTGCGCATGTGTGCATGAGTATGTGACTGGCTGGGGGGCCCTTGGCCTTGGTTATCTCCTTTGATGGCAGACAGAAGCACCTGAGCTTGGGGGGTATGACTCTCCTGCTTCCCACCTCCCCCCACCCCAGGGAGATCGGTTCCAGGTCCACGCCAAGCTGGGTAATCGGAAGCTACTGTGGCATGGCACCAACGTGGCCGTGGTGGCTGCCATCCTCACCAGTGGGCTCCGCATTATGCCACATTCTGGAGGCCGTGTTGGCAAGGGCATCTACTTCGCCTCAGAGAACCGCAAGTCGGCTGGCTATGGTGAGGTGTCCCTGGGACGCTGAGCAGCATGGGGCCCAGTGCTTGTCCAGTTGGTTGTGGACCCAGGAGAGGATCTCTTGGATGCTTACTGACTTGAGAGCTCAGTGGGGAATCCTGGCGGTTGGGGGACTCAGGAGGCATCCTGTGGTCAGGACAGCTTCCTGGGGGAGGCGATGTGAATAGGATGAAGGTGCCAACCTGACCTGGGGAGGGGGTCGGTGAAAGAGGAGCCTTTGAGGTAAAGTAGCCCAGGGGTGGCACAAAGCTGGGAGGCTGCAGCAGGTCAGCATCTCTGAGCACAGCCTGATAACGAAGCTTAGAGAAAATGCCTGGTGTGGATGGGGGGCTTGGGGCCCAGGATGATCAAAGGAACCTCTTCAGAGAAAGATGGGGAGTACAGTTGAACCTGGCTGCAGCCACAGGGAGGGTGGCTAAGGTCAGAGGCTGCTGGCAGGCTGTGTTCCCATCCAGGCCAACTATGATGGGTGCCCACTCCAGGGCAGTGGATGGAGGAGGAGAGAAGCCAGGAGAGGAGTATGTGAGAGGTGGGATGGGCAGAGTGTGGGAAAGGGTGGAGGGTGTCTCTGATGACCCCCAAGTTTCTGTCCAGCAGTGTCCTCACTGAGCTGATCTCCCTATACTGGCTCCTCGGTCCAGGTTGACCGCATTATTGGAGACCACCACCTGCCCCCACTCAGGAGAGTAAGGTCGGAGGAGTCATCTAAGAACAGATGGGGCTGAAGGTTGCTCAAGGCCTGGGAGCCCACTAGGAGGGCAGAAGAGCCTAAGAAGTAGAGGAGGCTGGCCTCAGGAGATCTTTGCAAGAGGACCCCAGGATAGAGGGTGAAGGAGGCCAGTGGCAAAATCAGCAGAGCAGGCTAGAAGAGCCCCTGCCCCAGATATGGTCACTGAAAGGCCATTACTGGCCTTGGTGAGGGTGGCAGAGGCCTGGCCTCTGAGCTGAGAGGAGAAAAGAGGCAGGAAGGGACAAGGAGCCTGGAGAAATGGTGGGAGGAAGGATGGAAGAAGGATGACCACTTTTCTGGGCCTGGGCAGCAAAGCCAAAGGAGATAACAATGCAGCAGAGAGGGGCCCAGGGAGTCAGGCAGAGGGCCAGTCTGCCTACCCTGAGCCTTCCTGTGTCCCCCAGTTACTGGCATGTCCTGCGGGGCCCATCACATTGGCTACATGTTCCTGGGTGAGGTGGCACTGGGCAGAGAGTACCACATCACCGTCGACGAGCCCAGCTTGAAGCAGCCACCCTCTGGCTTTGACAGTGTCATTGCCCGTGGCCACACAGAGCCTGGTGAGTCTCAGGAAGCTGGACAGGCCTAAGGATAGAGGTGAGGCTGAGATGAAGCAGGATGCTTTCAGGGAGAAGGTGAGCAGGAAAGGGACTGTGAAGAAGGACAAGAAGAAGCCGGCTTCCTCACCGTAGTCCTTCACTTTGTCATTCAACATACGCTCACTGATTCAACAAATCATTCCTGGGCATCCAGGAGGGCTTCAAAGAAAAGGTGTCATTGACTGAGCGTGGAAAGATGAGCAAGCATTTCCCAGGCAGAGAAATGGGGGAGGAGATTCCAGGCAGAAGGCCCACCCTGTGCAGCAGTTTGGAGGTTGGCTGGGGGGAACGAGTGGGCACTCCCTATGACAGAAGAACATAGCGGGTAGGACTCACTGGTAAAGCCAAGGACCAGTGGCCCTTGGGTCACCCATGGCCTTTGCTGTGCCCTGCAGATCCAACCCAGGACACTGAGCTGGAGCTAGATGGCCAGCGAGTAGTGGTGCCCCAGGGCCCGCCCATGCTCTGCCCAGAGTTCAGAAGCTCCAGCTTTTCCCAGAGCGAATATCTCATCTACCAGGAGAGCCAGTGCCGCCTGCGCTACCTGCTAGAGATTCACCTCTGAGCTGTCCGCCCAACCCTCCCGCCCCCTGCCAGGAGCTCGACCATCATCCTCAATCCCATATCCACTTCCTGCTCTCACATCTCCCTCCTGTGTTCCAGTGATCCTCTCTCCGTTGGTTCTGGCATAGCTGTGGCCTCAGTCTCACCTCCTAAGGTGATAGGTATGATGGACTGCAACACGAATGCAGCAGCCTATTCAAGGCTGTGTAGTTAGAGGGGCACAAACTGAAAGTGGGTGGGTCCCACATCCACCCAGGCCATCTACTCTGACCTAACTGTCCATCCAAGAGAGGTGAGATGATGGATTTCCCTGGCGGTCCAGTGGTTAAGACTCTGCTTTCACTACAGGGTGCACAGGTTCGACCCCTGGTTGGAGAAATAAGATCCCACAAGATGTGTGACAAAAAATAAATGAATAAACAAGAGAGGTAGGCTGCACGTCAGCCATGCACAGGCAAGTTTATTAAACATTGTATTGGTGTACTCCCTGGCCTCTGCTTGTCTGTGCCATAGCTGCACCAGGCCCGGGCCTCCTTGCTCTCCAGGGCAACTCGCCACACTGCACAGCATTTCCAGCCCCACTCCAGGGAGTGACCATTCACACTCACATAGTCATACACACACTCCCACCCACTGTGGTCACAGTCTATGTTGGTCCTTGCAACAACTGTCCTCCTCTGATCATTGAGCCTCTGAAAGGGACCCTTCCCATCCACCCAGAGCTGTTAGTCATGTGGGGACCCATCTGGTGATTCTTCAGTCCAGACATAGCCAGGCAAATCAAGCATTTCCCGTGTCTCGCCACCAAACACCCATGTGTGTCTTTTATCTATTATAAATGAGTTGAGAATATTTGTGAGGGGTTCAACTCTGCTGTCATGAAAGGAATGGTAATTATCACCCCAGGTTACTCTGTCCACAAACGAGGGGAGCAGACACTAGACAGCAGGTCAGGATCCAGTGCTGGGTCATACCTGCATTTTTCTTTGGTTTCCTTTAATCTGAAACCATTTTTGAGCCTTTTCTTTTCCCTCCATAACTTTTGACACTCTTGACACTCCTAAAGAGTACAGGTCAGTTGCTTTATAGACTCTCTCAGTTCACGTTTGTCTGATATTTTGCAATAATTAGATTCAGGCATTGCAGTTTGGCAGGAACATCACGTGAATGATATGTCCTTGGTGTACTATATCAGGGGGGACATATCCCATCCTTGGTGATGTAACTTTGATTGCTTAAAGTTGTGTCCACCAGGTTGTTCCACTAGGAAGTTATCATTTCCCCCATTTGTAATTGATCAGTAATCTGTGGGGAAATATTTTGAGGTGTAAATGTCCCATTCCTTATCAACTTTCACCTGCTAGCTTTTACATACATTTAGTGATGATTTTTACCTGAAATTGATGACTTTAATGAATTTTTGCTAAGATGGTTGCAAATTTATATCTAATTCCATCATTTCTTCTATATTTATTAATAACAGTCACCTTTCTTTCCTTATTATCAGTATGGACCTGTGGGTTCCGATTATATTCAGTGGGTTCCAATCCATTATGGTTAGTTTTGATCCTCAGATTGTCCCTGCTTTGGCCAGCAGAAGGTCCTTCAGGCTAACTTCTGCGTCTACACCATTTTGTGAGCACTTCCTTATGTTCTGGTTATCACATGATGTTCCAGGCTCATCTTGTACAAACCTAGAATCAGCCATTTCTCCACAGGGGTTCCCTAGAGCAGGGGATGATATTGAGAATCCAAGATCTGGGCAGAGGTATGCTCTATGAAATTGCGTGTCATTGCTTTTAAGTCCTGGTAGCAAAGAGGACTAAGAAATATGTACATGTAAATAAACATCTCTCTGTTTCTCCAATTCCATTGTGTCCTTCCATTCTCCCCCAAATCTATAATTATACTCCCTTCCCCTATAGTCAGAACCTTGGTTCACATCAACCTCAAATAATTTACTTATTTGCTTAATCCCACACAAAAGCATTTTCAGAATTGCTGTACCCATAACCATTGTGAAAAACAAACTTGCTAAGTAGAGTTCAAGATTTTATCAAACCTATTCAAACTAACTTTTTTGTCTTTAGACTGAAGGTCAATGGTCAAAGCAACAATTTGAACACAGGTTCAAATATTACTTGGATTAGTTATTTATTTCCCTTCATCATGGTGGTTATTCATTTGAAATGTAGGTACATTCATTTGTTTCTATATATATTCACTTTTAGGGGGCTTTCTCATCTTTATTTTTATTTTTTGCAACACAGAGACCATTAATATGGTCCTCCAAAGTCCAGTCTGTCCAAATCTGTGCTCAGAAGAGTGTTCTTCTCCTAGCCCTCTCACTCCATGCTCCATGCCCACCAACCTACTGTAGTTTCTGGTTTATCCTCCCTGCATTTCTTTTTGGGAAAAAAAAAAGATGATAAACTACAAAATGTTTTCACTGTTAATTTAGTTGAACGATTTTGGAGGGAGAATGCACTCCCCAACCCACCATAGTCCCTATCCCCGCCTATTGCCTTCCCCAGGCACCTGTTCTCATCTGCTTTCCCACCTGGTCCTGCTGAGTCCTCCCTAGGCCCTACAGGCCTAACTGGGCAGTGGGAAAGCCAATGCCCTCTCCTTCCTCTGAACCAGGACCTCAGATTCACCTCCTAGAGGCAAATACCCACATCAAAGTTGTGGTCAGGTACGGGAAGTAGTGACTGTGGACAGAGCGTAGGAAGCAGGTGACCCAGATTCCAGGTACAACTCAGCTGGGTAATCTAGAACACACGCCTTCCCTCTCTGAGCACCAGTCTCATCCAAATAACAGAGACCTGGACCAGGGCCCTTCAAATTCCAGCAGCAGGTGAGTTGAACCCAGAGATCCATGCCCTGTTGTCTGCCACCCTGATCCACGCCGGTGCAGACTGTGTGCCTGTGAGGCACAGACACAAGCAAGGCACAGATAAGGTCCCTGCTACCAAGGGGCTTGCATTCTAGTAAAACAGGCTCTAAGCAGCACATGCGTAGATATGAAATACAATTTCAAGTAGGAAAAGGGCCAGTAAGAAAAATAAAACAGGGTTAAAGAAGTAGTGATGGGAAAGTGGAACAATTTTAGGAAGGATGGTCACTGAAGGCAGAGACCTGAATTAGGTGAGAGGGCGAGCCATGAAGAAATCTGGGGGAAGGGTGGAAGAAACAGCACATGCAAACTTCCTCAAGGGGAAAGGAGTTTGACATGTGGGACCAACATAAAAACTGCATGGCTGGAAGTATGGGAGGCAAGGAGGAGGCGGGTGAGGTCAGAAAGGTGAGGAGAAGGCAATCTCAGCACAGAGGGGCTGAGATTCTATTTTGATGATGGGACGCTCTTGGAGAGATGAGTGCAGGATCGTGACCTGATCCGATTTGTCTTTAGAGAGATCCACTTTGGCCAGCTGCATAGAGAGTGGATCTATTTTGTCAAGATCCAATCAACAAAACACAAATCACTCTATGTATTCCAGACAAGAGGAATTTGATACAAAGAAGGAGCTGGACTATCAGAGGGGCTGGTGAGTCAATCCCAGGATTAGCAACAGCAGGAAGTTGCTACCATTCTTAGGTTGGAAGGATAATGGAATCCCAATGCCCAAGACTGGGCTCCCCCAGCAGTTGCCAGAACCCGAGGGGGCTGCCTGAAGGAAGCCAGGACTATGGAGGGAGATGAAGTCTTCCACAGAGGCGGATCTAGAGGTAGATCCAGGCTGAGCATGAGAGGGAAAATACCCTGGCTTCTTTCCTCCTGCCACCCTCCATTTCTGCTGGTAGCTTCCACTGGCTGAATATACCCCAAAACCAACTGACAGAGGAGCCTGGGAAATCAGTTTCTTGGCAGGCAGAGCAGTGCCGGGGAATATGGGAGTGGATCTAAGGGCAAACAGACAAATGACCACCATGAGGTGCAGGAACGAAGATCAGGAGATGGGTGAGGAAGACGCTGCAGTGGTCCAGGTGAGGGGTGGCAGTGCCTGGGAACATAATGGTGGTGAGACATGGCTGAATTTACACAGGTTGACCGTTTGGATGTGGGGTGAGTGGGGAAGGGAGGTGTCAAGGGAAACTTCTGTGATGACATTTACTAAGAAGGGGAGGATTCTGTGGAGAAAGTTGGGGTCGGGGGTCATGAGTCAGGTCCTTTGTTGAGGTATAGAGCTTTTGAGATGCCCAGTAGTTTCTGTACTGGCAGTGATGTTGAAGAGGTACCTGGGTATCCAGACTGGGATTCAGAGAGAGGAAAAGAGCTTCAGACACAAATGCAAGCTATTAGGGTATAGATGGGGTTTTGCCATGAGACTGGGTGACATGACCCCATTGGAGTCACACATCTTTCCCTGAGCCAACACCTTTTTCGGGGGGTGCCATACCATGGCTAGGGCTGGGTTTTTGTGCCTGGAGTATGATATGAAAGGTTAGGATGTGACCGAAACCACGTGTCCTGAGAGTTGGGGAAAGTAGGTTCCTAAAGAAAACTCTGGGTATTCTTAACAGAAGCAAACTCATTTGCTAACAGCAAAAACAACCCAAAATAGCCTTTAGTTGCCTATAAGGCTTCCTCTCATTAATTCCACAGTGGCTTGGAGCACCTATTCTGTGCCAAGCTAATACCAGCTGAGCAACCTACTATGTGCCAAGTCCTCTGCTTCCCCCATCACTTTACCTAGAGAACTAACCCTCCTGAGGACCTGAGTGTACTTAGGGGTCTCCCAGCTCCAGCTCTTGTGTCCCTGGTACCTCAGTTTCCCCTCAGTACCAAGGCTGAATGATCCAGTTACCCTCATTGAGGGGGATGGCACAAGAGAGCAGATTTTCTGCCTGGAAAAGGCAGAATAGGACCTGGCTGACTCCAAAGCCTACACTACAACGTCCTCAGTCTGCATTCCAGCCTATGGCTGCTCTGGGCCCCCCTCCCCAGGCACCCCCAGCATTTCCACAGCACAGCCTCCAGCCTCCAGCTGGCAGCTGCTAGGACCCAGGGGGCCGGTGCCAGGCCCTGCCCCTCCCTTGCCAGCTCTGTGTGTCTCCAAAGGGCAGCATCAGAGTGACAGCCGGTACCATCTCCAGCAGGGGCTGAGTCGCTGGTGTGGAGGAGAGAGCCACAGTCCCCGGCTTGCACCCTTCCATGGGGCCAGCCAAACCCCCAGAAGGATGGCAGCCCGGGCGTCTGAGCCAGCGCCTGGGCAGCCTGTGAGGTGAGAGGCCAGAGGAGCAAGGGATGGATGGTGGGTGAAGGGAATGAGGGTACTGGGGGGCGGGGAGGGGAAAGCTCCATCTCTCTCTCTCTCTCTCTCTCTCTCTGCCTCCCAGCACAGGGCGAAGCCTGAGCACTCGAATGGCCAACGCCACAGGGCTGAGCGCCCCAGAAGTCGCAGTCTCGATGGGGTTGATCCTGGCGGCTCTCGTGGAAGCGGCGGCACTGCTGGGCAACGGCGCGCTGCTGGTGGTGGTGTTGCGCACGCCGGGACTGCGCGACGCTCTCTACCTCGTGCACCTGTGCGTCGTGGACCTGCTGGCGGCCGCCTCCATCATGCCGCTGGGCCTGCTGGCCGCTCCGCCGCCGGGGCTGGGCCGCGTGCGCCTGGGCCCCGCACCCTGCCGCGCGGCGCGCTTCCTCTCGGCGGCGCTGCTGCCCGCCTGCACGCTCGGCGTGGCGGCGCTCGGCCTGGCGCGCTACCGTCTCATAGTTCATCCGCTGCGGCCTGGCGCGCGGCCTCCGCCCACCCTCGTGCTCACGGCCGTGTGGGCGGCGGCCGGGCTGCTGGGCGCGCTCTCTTTGCTCGGGCCGCCGCCCGCACCGCCCCCGGCCCCGGCTCGCTGCTCGGTCCTGGCCGGGGGCCTCGGGCCCTTCCGGCCGCTCTGGGCGCTGCTGGCCTTCGCGCTGCCCGCCCTCCTGCTGCTCGGCGCCTACGGCAGCATCTTCCTCGTGGCGCGCCGGGCCGCCCTGCGGCCCCCACGACCCGCACGCGGGTCCCGGCCGCGCTCCGACTCTCTGGACAGTCGCCTCTCCATCTTGCCGCCCCTCCGGCCTCGCCCGCCCTGGGGCAAAGCAGCCCTGGCTCCGGCGCTGGCCGTGGGCCAGTTCGCAGCCTGCTGGCTGCCTTATGGCTGTGCGTGCTTGGCTCCTGCTGCCCAGGCCGCAGCGGCCGAGGCGGCCGTCACCTGGATAGCCTACTCGGCCTTCGCGGCTCACCCCTTCTTGTACGGCCTGCTGCAGCGCCCTGTACGCCGGACGCTGGGCCGCCTTGCCCGCCGAGCACTACCGCGGTCCCCACGAGCCTGCACTTCGCGGGCCTGGCACCCGCGGGCCCTCCTGCAGCGCCTCCGGAGACCTCCAGAGGGCCCTGCCCTTGGCCCTTCGGAGGCACCTGAACAAGGCCGGGATTTGACAGGAAGGGAGAGCCTGAGCCTGTCAGAGGCCACGTGAGAGATGTCTCCCAGGTGAGCCGGGACTGGAGAGAGCAGGGTGGTATCGGGAAGGGCCCGTCCAGCCTCCAGCACAGCTTGTGGCAGGTGCCCTGCCTGGACTTCTGACCCTGGAATGGGAGAAAGGGGGCCTGTAGCCTGGTGAGGCCCAGATTCTTCTGCGAGGAATCCTGAGTTCCGGGCCCAACTCTGCATGGCCGTGTACACACACCTGCCCTTCCCTGGGCCTCAGGTTTCCCATCTGTACCCCGGACTGTGTCTAAGGGTTCCTCCAGCTTGAGTGATCTGGACACTCACAGATGGTCCCCAGGCCAGGGAAGAAGCGGAGGTGGGCAGGATCACAGAGAAGACGCCCTAAGGGCTCACAGCCAGAGGGGGTGGGCCAAGCAGGGCGGGCCTGGGTTACAGCCACAGCAGGAAGAACCAGTGGAGGGACATTCGGAAAGACCTCTGCGACATGTGCACCAAGAAGAGGCTGGACAGAACTACTGAGACTCCTCCATCAGCTTCTAAAAATGCCCAGAAAAAAAAAAAAAAAAAAAACTGGATCATTTGGTGCCAGAGACAGGAGGCTGGACAACATGACCCCCAAAGAGCCAGAATTGGCATGTGGAAAGGGGCTGAAGCCCAGCTGGGGCTGATGGAGTCATATAGATGGGGGTCCTCTGGGACCTCGGCTGCACCCATTTTCTGTAGGTTTTGCCAACACCCACAATGTTTCACAGCTTCCTGGTCTCTGAGAATATTTATTCAAAAACAGGAATTGAAAAAACTGTACAGAGTATCTGCTGCTGATAACTCGGCCCCTGCCCCCATGCCACTCCCCCAGCTGCCTGGCAGTGCCCCCTCTTCGGGCTGCCCTCTGCCAAGCCCAGCCAGTCCGTTCCAGTCAAAAGGGTATCAGTGGAAGCAGCAGGAATCTGCAGGGAGGTGGGGAGAGAAGCAAGGCCCCCAGCCACCCCCAGGCTTCCTCCCGGATCCCCACGCGGGGGACAGTGGAAGGGAAGCCCTGAGGGATGGGGAGTGCATGAGTGACCCCCCCCCCAAAGTGGGGGCACTTAGGATGCTCCCTGCATCCAAGAACAGAGCTAGAGGGGGTCGAGCCCCCTACCCTGGGGCTGCCACAGCTCCCAAAACCCTGGGCCTGAAACCACCCCCCACTCCGAGAGCAGGAGCTCCCACAGACCGGGGCAGGGTGGGGGGGTGCATCCATGCGTCTGGGCATTAGCGGCGTTTGGGGCCCCCTCCCGGGGTGGAGTCCTTGGGCAGGTAGCAGAGGCAGCCCCCTGCCGGCGGTCCTGCCTGCCCCCGCACCTGTGCCTCAGCCAGCCTCAGTAGGGGGAGAATTTCTGCCGCTCAGCTTTCTTGCTCCCATTGGCCGCTGCCATCTTGGCAGTGTAGGCCGCCAAGCCCGGCGGTGGCCCTGGGGAGGCAGGTGGTAGAGCCAAGAAGGGTACGGGCTTGAGGCCGATGAAGTTGGAGAGGGAGATGGCATAGGGCGTGCCCAGCAGGCCTGGGGGAGCGGTGGGCAGGGCCGTCAGGGGTGGCGAGAAAGGGGCAGGCAGGTCTGTGGGGGCCGAGCCGGGTGTCCCCCCAGAGGTAGACTTGGCCGTTTCTAGACTGGAAAGAGGGATAGAGGGGGTAGATGAAGGGAAGGTGGGGGGGGCGGTGAGAAAGGGGGCAATGAGGGCAAATATAAGGGATGAGATTAGATGAAAAACAGGAATTGAGAACAATGACATGGGTGGGCGTGTTTGGGGAAAAGATGGGACAGGTCGGAAGGGTGGGGTCGGGATACAAGCAGATAAGGACAAGGACAAGCAGATCCAGCATAGGGTAAGGGGGAAATGGGGAGACTGGAGTCCCAGGGAGCAGAGACAGGGATGGACTGAGGACACGAGGGACAGAGGAAGGGGGAAGATGGGGCAACGTGGATGAGTGTGGCAGGGTTAGGGAGGCAGAGGACAGGCCCGGGAGAAGGGAGGTCCGTTCTCTCCACCCGACCGGTGCCTTTCTCAGGCACAGAAGCCCCATGACCTGTGACACCCCCCATCCCACACTCACCAGGCAGTGATGAGGTACTGAGCCAGGGCGATGGAGACGGGTGAACCAGTGATGGTCACGTGCCGCTCACCAGCGCCCTCGGCTTGGTTCCCGATCTTGATATGTGCCCCTGACATCTGCCGGATCTCACTGATCTTGCTGCCCTGGCGCCCGATCACGCAGCCGATCAGCTGGGGAGAGGGTGGAATTCAACCCTAGGTGAGGCCCAGAACCCCCGAGCCCCCCTCCCCTCCCCCTCAAACCACCCCATCCCATGCTCACGTCGTTGGGAACCAAGAACTCCTGTGAGCTGGTCTGTGTGCTAGGGTCCAGTCCTGCAGGCGGGGAGAAAAGGGACTGGGCATGAGTCTGGGTCCTTCCTGCCTCCCCTCGTCCTTTCCAGAGGGAGCTGCCTGGCCCCCTGGGATCTGCCCCTGCTTCCTTCTGCAGGGACCGCTCACCTGGCACCATGCTGGGTGAGGCGAAGGGGACGGCGTGGCCCGAGAGCTGCTGGAGCTTGGTGACCTGTGCCAAGAAGACGGGTCAGGAGTCAGAGGGGGCTCTGTTCCGGAAGGCGTGCCGTGGGCTTTGGGCACTCACCTCAGCTGGAGTCACAGCGCCATACTGACCCTGGACAGAGAACCCCTGTGAGGACAGAGCGGGTCAAAGGGGGTCATTGTGATAGGGCAGTGTGGCCAGCCCCCCCCACCTCTCCCTGGACCCCCCATTCCTTCCTCCGCCTCCCCTGCTTCTCCAGTAACACGTCCCACCCCTCCTGCCGTCCCCCTCACCTGGTTGGTGGAGAGGAGCACGGTGCCTAAGGAGAGGCTCGGATGGTACGGGATGGTGGCTCCTTTGGGTGGGGACTGGGAGGCACACGTGGGGAGGCTCGGTCAGGGCCTTCTCAGGCCCCCCTTCCCTCCCCAAGGCCCTCCCCACAAGCCCCAGATAAACACAGATGTCCTTGAGCTTCTCACATCCAACCCTGCGGCCCCACCCTAACCCACACCTGGTGCACACAGGCATAGGCTTGGGGGCCTGACAAGGCAGCCCCAAGGTACAGCCCCTGCCCTCCCTCCCTGCCCCCGGGCCCACCTCCAGGATGACAGCACAGATCTGGCGCACACACAGGATGATGGCATCAGGCACCCCGGACACGGTGACAGCACGCTCTGTGGAGTTGGGGAGCAGGTCTCCTGCCACCTGCACCTGGGCACCTGTAGTCTGTGGGCAAAGAACGGGGGCCACCCCCGGCTACTCCCATAACCCAGAGCAGAGTGCCCCGGCTCATAGCTCCCCAGGGGCTAGGAAGCCATAAGCCCAGCTCTCCCCTCGAGACCCCCCTCCCCTCACCTCTCTGATCTCCTTGATCTTGGTGCCTGCCTTCCCAATCAGCGAGCCACACTGGCTTGCAGGGATGACAAGGCGCAGGGTCACTGGAGGCCTGGAGACACTCCCTCCGTTTGCAGGAGCAGCGCAGAGGTCCTGGCCAGGAAGACTCGGTTGGCCGTGACTGCCTCTGCTGCACCCCCACCCCTGGGGCACCTTCCTACTGGGGGGCAAAGGAGGGAAGCCCACCCACATCCCACTTGGCCTTCCATCCCACCCATAGTCACTCTGTGGATCAGAGACCCGTTCCTCCTAGGGGACCACCCTTGGCCTCCCTCCAGCCAGCCACAGACCTCATCCAGCTTGAAGGCGATCATGGAGACTGCGTGGAAGACTGCTGCTGTAGACCCAGTGATGGTGGTGATGCGCTCAGGGCAGGAGCCCTCAGAGATGGTGATCCGGGCACTGCTCTGCGGGTATAGGACAAGCGCCGGGCAGCGGGGCTCCTTCTCTGCTTCCTGGCCAGGAAGCTGCCTGCCCCCCACTCACCAGGCCCCAGCCAAGGCTGGAAGTGGCCACCTTTTAGGGGCACTGACTGGTGATCCTAGATGGTGGATTCAGGGACAGGGTGGGGCATCTCCCCTCCCCTCCAAACCAGGTACCCTGGGCTCCCCTCCTAAATTCCATCCTCACCTGTTCCCGGATTCGCTTTACAGTCTCTCCTTTCTGCAGGAGACAAAACAGAGGATGCCTCTTAGGCCAAGTGGTCGTTGCTTCCTTTCCTAGGCTGAGGTCTCAGGTTGAAGGGGACACACAGAATAGAACAAGGCACCTACCTTCCCAATTATGCTGCCCACCTCCTGCAAGTCAGACAAGAGTGAAGTCAGCAGCATACCCATAACCCAGGCACCGCCCTTTCCCCCACTGCAGGTGGGGTGGGTTGGGCTCCACAGGAGACGGGATACCCAAGATCAAACTCCCCCCCACAAGCTGGCCAGGTCTTGCCTCATCTTCCCCTTTGCCCCCTCCTGAGCCACAGGGAAGCCCCCTCACCCCTCACACGCCCACCCTGCCTCGCCGCCTCACCTTCCCATGCATCAGCATGCGCAGTGTGAGGGTGATGCTGAGCTCCGGCTCCTCCTCCAGCCCCGCATCTGAGCCGCTCATCCTGTCAGGCGGGGCTGGGGCTGAGGCCGCCTGGAAACACGTCCACACTGTGGCCTGGCCGGCTCTGCGGGGGCAGTGGGAGAGGGGTTAGAGAGGAGCTCCACTTTCTTTCAGGTCCCCTGCCCTTACGTGGGGATCCCAAAGCCAAGCTCGACAAACTTCCAGAGCAGGGAGACAGCGTGGACCACAAGTTTCAAGTGTCACACTGACCGGTTTGCTGTGTGCAACTCACCAGCTGTGTAAGCCTGGCCAGCATCTATAACCCTTCTGAGCCTCAGCTTCCCCATCTGTACAAAGGGGATACCAAGCCCAATCCCCAGAGTTAATGAGAATTAAAATGAGTTGGGTGCCAGTGTCTCCACAAGTATTCTTCCCTTTCCCTGGTACACTGAAAGAATGAACTCGGAGGGCTGTGGGAGTCCAGAGAGAGGGAGCCTCCTCCCTGACCTCCTGGGAGAGGAGTCCACCTCCTGTGGACTGGGCCTTGAAGGTTGGGTTCAAATTGAAAGGTTACTTCAAACAAGAGACACTTGTGTCCAGGAAGCAGAGCCCTCACTGGCTAGAGCCTGGTTGGAGCAGCTGGAGAGGGAGCCGGAGCAGCCACAGGCGGTCTTGAAAGGTGGGTGGAAGTGAAGGTAGCAAGACTCCAGGAGGGTGGGCTGCGCTGTCCACTAGGAGTCACAAGAGCAGAGGCTTCTGCGACAGCTGTGAGCAGGGTTCACTCAGCACTGGGGGTGGGCGTGGGGTGTCTGGGACCAGCAATGTGCACGGTGGCTTTCTGAGCCCTCTCCTAAGTCCCGAGGAGGTTAGATGTGTCCAAACTGGCGGTGTTCCCAGGCTAGAGCACTTTCTACTGTACCAGAAACAAATTACTTGGACTCTGAGTCTCAGTGGTCTCACCCGTAAAATGGAGGGACTGCATCCCCCTTGGGACTGGGAGGTGGGTAAGAAAGGCACTGGGGGGCGGTGGGGGAACGTCAAGGCTGTTAACTGATAGAGGAAGGAGGAGCCAAAGATTAGCTGCTGGGATTAGCCTGGCCGCCAGCCCTCCCCACCCGACCCCTTTTCATGCCCCGACTTAATCCTGGACCTTAATCCTGCTTGGAAATCCCTCTCCTTCAGCGGCTGTCTCCCGCCGAGGCTCGGCCTTGATGGGGAGCTCATGGGGGACCAGAACCCGAGCAGGAAGACAGGGAGGGGACCACCTGGTGCCCAGTCTGAGCCAAGAGCAGGCCCTAACCCTAAAAATCCCCACAGCCAGGAGGGGCGGGGGCTCGAGTGCCTCGAGACCTCTAGGCACCTTCCTCCCCAGCCCCCTGCCCTATCCTGCCGCCAGCATCAAGGGTATAGAGCTCTTCTGTCCAGCATCCCCTTCAGAAACCCTCCCCACCCCACCCCTCAGCCTGAGGTTGGGCACGGAGGGGTAGGGGTGGGTCTGCCAGCCTGGGTGACTCAGGAAGCCTGAGTCCTGAGACCTCTGTTTCTTAATCCGTACTAAGGGGGTGATGCCCTGACTCCCCAAACTACCCAGTAACTTGCCTCCCCAGAACCTGTTCCTTCCTCTGCTTGAGTTCTGTCCATAGGCTCTCCAGAGTTCAGAGGTCAACAGTGGATGCAGGGCTGGTGCTCTGTGAGCATCCTGGCCAGCGTCACGCTGGCTGCCCTTGCTAACATTCCCCCAGCTGCCAGCACTTCCCCCAGTAAAGCACTCGTGATGACGTGCTTAGTTTCGGTTACCCTGGCCAGCCTGGGAGCCCCTTAGAGCAGGAGCCAAGACTGCCACCTTCTCCTTGTGTTCCAGAGCCAGGCCGGAGAAGTTACTCAGAACACACATTATCTGAATGGAAGACTTCACCAAACAGAAGGGGAGCCTGGTGCCCAGAGAGGGTCTGTAACCTGCCCAAGGTCACAAGAAAGGTGGGGTCTGCTGGGACTAGCAGGGTCCTGCCTGCCTCCTCTGTCTGGCTGTCCTGTCTCTCCTCTTTGGGGGTGGGAGAAGGTTGCAGGGGTGGCTCTTCAAAGGTGAGGAGCAGGCTTTAGTAGTCCCTGAGATCCCTGCCTGGTTAGTAGACATTGGTTGTGTTTGGAAAAGACTATACTTGTCCAGAGCCACATCTTAAGCTCCAGAATTTTCTGGGGCTCATGGACCCCTTTGGGGTGATAACCAGTGGGAGACCTGATATTTCCACATCACCTCTTGTGGGCAAAGGCTCCTGGGAAAACAGGGCAGAAGGGCTGAGATGTGGCCAAAACTAGGGCTTCTGCCTGAAAAAGATACCTGGGTCTGCAGCAGAGCCCCACTGCCCCAAGTTCAAGTGACCTTGGCCAGGCCTGCACCTGACCTGGACCTCAGTTTACCCACCTGTGCTACGTGTGTGTCTGTGGGGGCTGGGGGGACAGGGGGAATGGCTGGTCTCTCTATGTCCTTCCTGTTCTGAGGGACCTTCAAGGTCTTTCCTGTCTTTTGGGGAGAAGAAAGGGTCTTGATACAGGTCTCTAATTCTCCTAGGAGCTTTGAGAACAAGCAGCCCTACTAGGCATACTGGCTCCCCTTCTGCCATCACAGGGGCTCTAGGGAATTGTTTGCTGCTCCAGCCTGGTGGGACCTAGGTCCCTGCTGGGCCACCCACATGGCAGCTACGAATCATGCCACACTGACCTCCAGCTCACCTCTGGGGGTGCCCAGCCCCCTCTGGTCAGCAGGGCTCCCTGGCAGAACATACCAAGCTCAGACCAGGCCTCTGACCTCGGGTGTTCCCTCCTGCTCCCCAGACCCCCGCCCCAGATCCAATGCCCACTCCTTCTGTCCCTGGCTTCCTGCCACTCAGGCTGCAGGGGGCGGGGGGGGGGGGTGGTGACAGCTGTGTAAGCCATGGCGGCTGCCCCTTCCTGCCCCTCCCCCCCCAGCTGTCTCTCTCTCTCTCTCTCTCTCTCTCTCTCTCTCTCTCTCCCCTCTCTCTCATGACAGCTGCCCAATCAAAGGGCCGGGGGCTTAGCCAGCTCCCCCCCCACATGCAGGGATCAAGTGTCCACCCTGGCTTTGTTCTGGAGCAAGAACAATCCAGGGGAAGGGAGGGCTCCTGGGGCCAAGCGACTCAAGTGGACCGGCCCGCCCCTTGGGGGATTCCCTCGGCTCTGTTAGCCAGAGTGTCTGTCCCAACTAGGGCTTGTAGACCCACCTGGGCTGGGAAGAGAGAGAAGGGTCCAGTCTACAAGTTCATCCCTACCTCACATCCCAACATCCCCTTCCAGCCCCCAACCTAACAGCCTCCTCCCGTTCCTACTCCAAAAGCAGCCATGCTGGCCACACCCAGTGATGCTGGGGAATGGCTCGGGTCATCAGGCGAAGCAGGGCGTGGTGGGGGGGTGGTGAGGGGGTTGACACTGGGCCTAGAGGGGATCGGTACTGAGGGGCTCTGACTCCCCTGCCCATCATTTTCTCTGGGCACACTCACCCTTTCCGATTAGCTAGGCCTCCACAAGAATTGCCCCAGCATCCTCGGATCCACACGCCCAGCCTCTCAGTCTTACAGCCTCCAGGGATGGCCATTCACACCTACTTTATGGGAGAGTCCAGGGAGGAGGGGCCTGCAGAGGAGCAGCCTGGGCTCCTTGAGCTCCAGCCTCTGGTTTCTTGACCTAGAACTGTCCTGTAGACTCAGTACTAGGCAGAGAAGGGAATCTCTGACAAGCTGGCTAGTGCCAAAATGCTACAGTCTTCCTTAGAGCACCGTTAGGCAATGCCCCCCGCCCCTGCCCTCTGCCACCAAGAGGAGTCCTCAGGGCCAAGGGAAGCAAGGCAGGCCCAGGCCCAGATTGGACTCCAGGCGAACAGGCACAACTTCATGGTACAGTCCCACCCACTCACTGGTACCCATCCCCTCACTGTCTCACCCCGGTTGAGAAAGGTCTCTCTAGCTTCTACTCCCCACTCTGGAGACTGGGTCACTCTGCTGCCCAACAGCCATCCTTGGTTCCCCAGTCTCCAAGGAATAAATCCTGATCTCCACAGACAGGCCGTCAAGGCCCTTCATGATCCAGCTTCTGCCAACTTCTCTTGTCTCATCTCTACCCCATCCCCCCCACACACCAGACTACAAAACATGCCTAGCACCTCCAAGCCTCTGGGCCTTTGCCCAGGCTGATCCTAGCTTCACCTGCCCATCCTCCCCACTCTCTGTCCAAATCCTTCTCAAATGCCACCTCCTCTATGAAGCCCTCCTCAAACCTTCCAATCACTCAGGCCTCTTTGCTCCTCAAAGATGCCTGTCACTAAGAGCCCCATTTGGGCAATTCTGAATCTGCCTTTCCACTATTCAGAGTTCCAGGAGCCAGGACCAGGCTCAGTTTGTAGGGAGAAGAAAGGACTCAGGGCTTGGAGGCTAAGGATCCCAGAGAAAACTGTAAGAGCGGGTGAGAAGACTCAAGGCGCAGGGGACCAGCCGCATGGGAGAGTCAGGATCTGCCTGGGCAGGACTCCCAGTTCCTATTCCCCAGCACCCCAGCCCTTGCTCCTGCTGTGTCTTTGAGTCTAGGCAGTCGCTATCACTGGGGTGGGGGATTTGCACTTTGCTTTGAGACTTCTGGGGGCCCTGAGTGAGCTTCCCCATGGAGAGGGGAGGCTGAAGGAAGAGCTGCGGTGTGGGATAGGTTTCACAAAGTCGGGCTCAACCTGTCTTAGCTGGAAGGGCCTTGCCAGACAGGAACCTGAGGCCCTGAGAAAAAGGGGCTTGTCTGCAAAGCTACGAGAATGAGGCAGCTGGCAGAGCTGGCGGAACCCCGGGGTCCACCTGTGTGGCTCAGAGCTCTTTCCTCAAGAGGTCAGTGCCACCAGGCAATGGTGATGGAGGCTGGGGGGCAGTGATGAGAGTAGGGAGGGTGGACAGAGCCTGTCTGGGGACACAGGGCGGGGCAAAGCCAGCCTCCCTGTGGCCTGGGCCTGCCAGGGTGTGTGGGCCGCCTGCTCCCAGCCCCCCACCCTGAGCATGCAAGAAGAACAATCCCCTTGTGTTTGGGCAGCCTGAGCCTGCATGCTGATGAAGGCTAGGGGGTGGGGGCAGGGATGGGGGCACCTTGGAGTTTGAGGGGGTTCCAGGGCCCCAAGGGGCTAGGGGACTGTCAGATGGGAAAACAATAGGGTCCCAGGTGCTGGTTCGGAAGCAGCGAGGGTAATCCCAGGGAAGAGTGAAGGCTGGAGTTGATGTTTAAGGTCCTAGGGAGTCCCTGGGGTCTAAAAACTCTTTGTGGGAGAAGAAGAGCCCCTGGCGACACATGCTGTGTTGGACCAGCGTGAAGGTGATCGTTCTGGGCTTGCTGGGGGACTGAGAGCCCAATTCCGGGAGGAGGGACTGCACCTGGCCCTAAGTGCATCCCTTTGAAGACCACTCCCCAGGGTGCTGGAGCCGGGCGGGGCACTGGGTGCCACAGGTCCCAAGATGGCGGGCCTGGGATGGGGAGTGAGGAGGCGGGCACCTCCCTCTCCTGGCCAGGCAGGCTCCAGGGCCAGGCTCAAATGAGTAGCCAGAGCCCCCGCACCTCCTCAGACTCCAGCTAAGAAGCTAGGTCAGAGCTGAGGGGCTCAAGAGCCACAGGGCACCAGGGACCATTCAGAGCCACCAAACTGACATCTGCACACACCCCTGGCCTGGAGGTCTGTGGCTGGCGCCCCCAGGGACTGCAGAGAATGGGAAGGGGTGTGTGCTGAGCCAGGAACTGCAGGGGAGTGGCTGATGGGGACAGAGGTGGAGCAGAACCAGAAGCCAGGGCAGGAGGTCTAGAGAACAGGTCCAAAGGACAGAAACAGCAGGTGGGATGAGGGCCTCAAATCTGGGGTGTCGGGTCCAGAGAGCCCCTCCCTGGTAACTGGGGGCTCCTCTGGCCGACCAGCGCCCCCCACCTGTGCAGGCCTGGGCCCGTGTGGGACAGGGAACGTGTTCCTCGCAGTCTCCCAAACCCGGGACCCCGGCCTATGGACTCCGGCGCGGGCTACCCGCCCCCCGGCCGAACCCCCAAACTTCGCGACCGGCGGTGCCCCGCCCGGCCCGCGCCCTACCTCGCTGGGGCTGTCCTGCGGCGGCGGCGGCGGCGCGGCGGCTGGGCCGCTCAGTCCCACATTGTCCCCGGGAGAGGCGGCCGCTCACAACTGCGAGTGACATCAGCTGCGAACAATGAGGGGTTTGACAGGCGCGGAGCCCGGCCGGCCCGGAGCCCGGCTCCGCGCCCCCCCCACCCCCGGCCCGCCCGGCCCGGCCCCTCCCCGCCCCCTCCCCGGATCCGATTACAGCGCGGCGGGCCCGCCCCAGCCGCCCCAGTGCCGCAGCCGCCCGCCCCGCCCCGCGCGCCGCGGTGCGCCCCGAGCGGCGGCCGCTTCCGGGAGGGTTGGCGCGACCCTCCCCCGGCAGCTCCTCCAGTTCCCGGGCGAGGGGGGCGAGGGGGGGTCCGGCCTGAAGCGCGGTCCCAGTCACGGTTCTGCCCGCGCCGTCCGCGCTGCGCCCCGCTCCCAGTCCCTTCGCTCTCGGCCAGCTGGTCCTTCCGTCCCGAGTCCCCTGCACCCCCATCTCGGCCTCTGCCCCACTCCCGCTTGGATCCCTCGGAGCTCAGGTTTCGACCCTCTGCGGGGCTGAGTTTCCGGCGCTCCTGGCTTCTGCGCCATCCATCCCCGCGCGGGCCTCTCGCCCACCAACAAGCCCCACACCCTCAGCCACCCCCAGCTTCCGCCAGGCCCGGCCCTCGTGCGTCCAGGACAGGTTACCGGACCAGCTGGAGGAGGGGCCTGAGAGCGGTGTGACCCGGTGCACCCGCCCCGTGATTCCCCCCAAAGCTACCCCCAGAATTCTTTTTTGGGCTAGGGTCGCGGCGTAGTTGAGTACTCGACTAGGGAAGGGATAAGAGTAGGCGGGGGGGAGCTGGGCGGTTCCCAAGCTCTCGCTTTCCCCGCTCGGCGCCCCAGGCCGACGCGCCCCCTGGGGCTCAAGTCTACCTCCCCTTGTCCCTAATCGGCTCAGCTTGGTCCCACTGACCTCCACCTCCCCTACAGCTGAGTCTCTTGGCACCTGGATGTGTGGGGGTGGGGAGGGGAATCCAATCTCCCTTCCCCTCCATCTGGCCCGGTGGACAAAGGGCAGGGGGACCATCTGGTCCCGCCAGGGTGGGGGAGGGGCTCGCAGTGGCGGTCCCCAAGGGACGGGGGAGGGGCGGCGCTCTGGAGACAGCGAGAGCCTGCGGGTCTAATTGCATCACTTTATTTCACCGACCTTCACTCTTGGTCTCCCCACCAACCAAACCTCAGAGCAGGAAACTAGCTAGGCCGAGAAGACCCAGGCCTGGGGAGCTGTGGAGCACCCAGCTGGAAGATCTGAGGGTCGAAGTGGTGCCCCCTCCTCCTTTGGGAGCATTTGTGATCTGGGGCCAGCTGCAACCTGTGGGTGAGTGAAGTTCAGAGCTAGCCATACCCTAAGCCTGGTAGAGGGTCTCCTGCAAGGGCTGGCCTCATGGGATCCCTGCCTTCCCAGATATGGAGAGGGCAGTATGTGCCTGTGTAAGTACTTGTGTGGCGGCAGAGTATGTGTGTATGTCTGTGCATGCAGTGCAACGCTGCCGAGTCAGCTCCCAGCTGTGTGCACGGCCAAGTGAAGGGTCATATTTGGGAACATAGATGACTCTAATTTGTAAGCATGCATGTGGGCATGTATATTTTTGTGGCCCAAGAGGCGGAGTTAGGGGCTGTGCTACCCAGCGGAGCAGCCAAAGGAGGAGGTGGTAGGTGGGGAGAAGCTGGGCAGAGCAGAAGGAATGCAAGCTGAGGAGGAAAACTTATAGGAGAAGTTCATCTAATGGATTACCCTCCACCAGATTATGTCCCTTGATTCCTTAAATTTTTTTGATTTCACCTCTTCAGTCTGTCCCTGCAAGAGAAAGAAGAGGAAAAGACAGACCCTAAAAGAAAAGAACCCAGATAGACAGACATACCTGTTGCAATGTACAGGATGAGAAGGAACCCACAAAGGGAAGGAGAGAGAATGAGGAAGAGCGAGACCAGGGCAGGCAAGCGGCCCATCCCCATCAGCAGGGCTGCTCCTCATGCTAGCCCCCGCAGGAAATCCAGCAGCCCTGTATGCCACTCCTCGGGTTTGTCAAGGTAACAGGGGTGACCTGCCCCCGCCATGACCAACACCCGGTGGTTGGGCAGCTGCTTCAGGTGCTCAAAGCTGGTCTGACCCATGGGGTCTTGGTCTCCATAAACGATAAGAACTGATGTCTAGAGAAAGAAAAAGGAGGCAAAGTCAACAGGGACCTGCCATACCAGACCCAGCCTCCTAGAGATCAGCTCCAGCCCTCCCCATCACTTTGGTGTCTCCCGGTCACTGCAAATGATGGGAAGAGACGGGTTGGCCCAGTGAAGGGGTCGTATGGAGAGGCATAAATCTGTGTCTGCCCCAGTACACAGCAAGGGCTTGGCATAGTAATCTGCTGTCAGCTTACCCCAAGGTTGGAGATTGGTGGTTCAACTCGTCTCAGACACTACCCGTTTGGTTACCCGGTCCCCCCGGGGCCCCAGGGTGGACTCTTCCTTGCTCCTGGCAGGGGCATCTCAGCCTCCCACACAGGGGTACCTTCACTCTGGCATAGTCGGCAGCATTGATTTTGTCAGTGCAGATGGGGGCCACTGGCACGTAGCCCCGGAGCTGGGAGCCTGGGGCCGTGAGGAAGGGCAGGGAGTACATGCCGCTCAATGATGGGCTGATCACGACCGGGGGGCCCAGATCCAAAGCATCCACCACAGCTGCCAGGAAGCTGCTGGGGACCAGCTCCCCAATAGGGGCAGGCGCTTTTGCTTCCTTGGAGCACCCCAGACCTGGAGGGATTCAGGTGTGGGAGAGACAAAGGTGGTGAGTAGGAAGACAGCAGAGAGACGGTCCCTTCCTCCAGAAAGCCCTCCTAGGTCAAGCTCTGTGTCAGGTTCCTGAACATGCATGTAGTTATTCCTACAGCGACCTAGGTCTGTCGTACCTGTGGCAAGCATAAGGCATTTCCCTCCATGTTTGTGCCCACCTCCACCAGAACAGTGTCTTCAAAGAATCAGGCTCTGAAGCCCCACATGGCTGGATCCAAGTCGCGGTGATCCACTTACTATGTAACCCTGGGAAAGTGCCCTCAGCCCTCTCTCCACTGTTCAGTTTCCCCATCTGTTAAAAGGAGGTAACAAAAGTTTCTGCTGCTTGAGATTGTTGTGAAAATTTAGTGAGTTAAGTGCTTCAGAGGCGCCTGTCCCAGGGCTGGCAGGGTAGATGCCTCCAGGACAGGGGATGAGGGGTGGTCTCTGCACACATATCTCCCCTCTGGTTAGTCAGTCGCTACCTTCTGCAGGATTAGTTCATGGACTTGGCTTGGAAGTTCGGCCCAACCCATTGTCAGAACCAATCCTGTCCCGTCCTGGAGGCCCGCCCTTGGGCACTGAAACCATACCAGCCATGGCCAGAGACGGAGGCAGGTTGGCCATGCTGCCCCTTTCACACTTGGCACCGTGGGCTGGGGCCTGCCAGTGGAGGTTGTGACTGGCAGTCTGGTGCTGCCCTTTCCTCTCTCGACCTAACTTAGGGCTTTGTAGGTGGGATCAGGACCAGGGGTTTAGCCATCCCCAAGTGTGCCAGGGGACACTCAGGGCTTCCAACAGAGCTTGTGTTTACAGTTCTTTCAAAACATTTTACTTGCCATCAGCTGAGTACTAATTATTCTGTGTTACGTACTGGTCACATACTCACATGGCACATCTCAATCCTTTCTCATTAAAACCATCCTCCAGAATGGGTGTGGTTATCTCATTACATATAAGGAAACAGGCTGAGACACGGAGACACTGCACCGAGCAACACAGATGCAGCCGGGCAGTGTCCAGACCGTATCTGGATGGACTAGAGAAGCTTGAAGGCCCTTGTAGTGCACTTTGACCTGTCTAGCTCGGGTCAGCCTGGCTACATCCCCCCATTCCCCCAGCCCTGGGTACCCAGTGAGGCCCCCACAACCCCTGTCCAGAAGCCTGCCCCCGCCCCCCGAGTTACCTGGCAGGTCAATGGCCACAGCCCGGTAGCCAGCCTGGGCCAGCCTGTGCAGCGTGCCCAGGTTCTGCCAGGTCTCGGAGGAGAAGCGTATGCCATGCAACAGCAGCACGGAGAAGCGGGCGGCCTGCCCACCGGCGGGGCGAGCCTCTCGGAAGAAGAGGCTCTGGCCCTGCACCTGGGTGGTGCCCTCGTGCTGCTCCACGCCCGCCATGCCTGCTGCTGTGCTGGTGCCACAGAACACTCTGCCCACGTGGAGCAGGGAGGCTGCCCCAGAGAGGGCAGGGGTCTCTCCTGCAGCTGCAAGGAGGCTCCCAGAACTCTAGGCGCACGCCTTGGATGAGGAAAACATAGGTGTTATTTCTGCCTCCGCCACTACTTAATTGCCTTAGTTTCCTCATCTGAAATATGGGACATGAATGCCCACCTCAAGAATGTATGAGTTAAAAAAAAAGACAAACATAATTGAGTGTGCCTGCCTTTGGAAAAAACTCAATACAGGGGGCTCCCATTACAATTATTGTTCCCATTGTTAGTATCCTTTCCTACCTTTGGGGATAATACAATAGAACTTAGCTCCTAGGTGGTAGATAGGATTAAATGAAGCGAGGCGTGTAAAACACTCCCAGTGCCCAGCACACAGTAAGCATAGTAAACGTATGAACAGTAAGTAGCTGACTATTCTGCTTATCAGCGTTTTCCTCCTCCAGGCACTGCTATAGGTCATGGATTGGCAACGCACACGCAAGGGAGTTGGGGCTGGAGTGGGGAAAAAAAAAAAAAACACAACTATTTTCCGGAGCCGGAAACCGGAGCGCTGAGTGGGGAAAAGCTTTGGAGTTCCGGCTCACGAAACCCGCGAGGTGCTCAGCGCGCTGCCCGCTGAGGCCCAACACACTGTCGGCCGAGGCCAGACGTGGTCTCCGGCACCGCCACCTCTGGCTCAGTCCCCTCCGAGGACCTCGGTTGTGGATCGCAGGGTCTGGTAAGGTGCATGCAAAAGCCGAGGGGGGCAGACCCTAGGAAGGGGGACTGGGGAGCTAACATAAGAAGGGGAGAAACTTTGCGGTGGGTGGAGGTGGGTTCTAACTAGAGAAAGGGAGAGTCGGAGGGCGCAGGATAGGTACCTGGGGAGCTGCGCGAGCAGGCAGGCGAGTGCAGGCGGCGACTGGGGCCGGGGCGGGAAAGCAGGGAAGGGGCTGGTGCGGGGAAGGAGGGAGGTGGCCCGCCGGAGGGCGGGGGCTGGACCGTGCTCCAGGGCGCCTGCTTGTGGCCGCAATCCGTCGCAGGGAGGTGGGTGCTGCTATGCTAGACCCATCTTCTCACAGCCGTCTCGGTTTCCCCATGCCCTTCGACTCCATGTACACCAGACTGGGTCGGGCCCAGAGACCCTGAGCAACCTGCCCCTGGTGCATATGGTGTGTCTTGAGAAGAAGGGTTCCTTTGGGGTCTCATCGATCCTGCTCCCTCCCCACTTTCCGCTCCCCCGCCACCATCCCCAGCCTGGGCTGCCCAAGCCCAGTTTTCAGTCTGGACACAGTGGAAGCCAGACTGATTAGAATGCGAAGTTTTGCCAATGTCTAGCCTTGATCGAGGAGAAGGCAATGGCACCCCACTCCAGTACTCTTGCCTGGAAAATCCCATGGACGGAGGAGCCTGGTAGGCTGCAGTCCATGGGGTCGCGAAGAGTCGGACATGACTAAGCGACTTCACTTTCACTTTTCACTTTTATGCATTGGAGAAGGAAATGGCAACCCACTCCAGTGTTCTTGGCTGGAGAATCCCAGGGAGGGGGTCGCACAGAGTCGGACACGACTGAAGTGACTTAGCAGCAGTAGCAGCAGCCTTGATCGGTTTCCCAACTGCCTTGAGCATATTTCCTTACCTGTAGAATGGGTGTGATGCTGCCTACTTCACAGAGTGCTAATAAGGGGTGAATGCTGTGTGTTGCTTCCATCCTCCCTGTTCCAGGCCTGGCCACACAGGCTAGGGACAGATCAGATGTTGGTCACATGTCACTAACCAGGATAGATGACTTATAGAGACATGAAGGAGCCTAGAGGCCACCAGGGCTCTGGCTGAGAGCATGCGTGTGCGTGTGTGTGTGTGTGTGTGTGTATTTGCAGGGGTCAGGGAAGTGGCTGACCAGAGACCTGGGGCTGCTTCAAAACAATACTAATATCTGGCAGTTACACAGCGAAGCTTCCATGCCAGACAGCAGGTCCTTAAGACAACCCTCTGCGGTGGTGACAACCCTTTGTGGGCCTAAAGACAACCCTTATCCTTCACCCTCCATACAGACCAGAGACTAGGGGTGGAGACACGCTGGTGGGAGGAAGTCGGGTGACTTCTCTTTATGCCCCAGCTCTCAGGCCGAAAAACAACCTAGCAAATCTGGACAGTGGGAAGTGGAGCCGGGCCTCTGTGCTTTGGGGTGCCCCCCCTCCCCGCCCCGCACCCAGGCTCGGGACTGAGACCGCGGACTGCGCAAGCGCACCAAGGCTCTCCGCCACCTAGTGACCGCAGCGGCCCGCAGAGTGGTGGAAGCAGCGCCAACGTCGCGGCGCTGTTGGACCCTGGTTGCATCCGAGCAGAGCCCGCCCAACAGTGGCGGGTCCAGTCATCCCGGTTGGCCCGGTAAGTGTCCCCGGGGAGTGAGGCCAGCAGGTTGCCCGGGGCGGGCCGATCTTGCCCCGCCCCTTGCCCCCGGAGCCCTGGGGCAGAGTCCCACCGCCCGAGAGGCCGCGCTGGGGGAGCCAGTGTGCTTGTTTGTGTTCCGTTGTCACTTGTGTGTGCACCCTCTCAGTTGTTGGCAGTGTGTTCTTGGGGGTCTGGGTGTGTGTGTGTGTGTGAGAGATGTGTGTCTGTTTTTCTGTGCCTGCGCTGGGGGGCAGTATGTCAGTCTCTGCCCGCTTGTGTCTGTTTATGTCTACTGTGTGTGTTTCTGTGTGCTGTGTGGCTTTAAGGGTGTATATCTACCTGTATGTATGTGTATTTCTCAGGGTCTGTGTTTGGGTGGGTGTCTGCCTGTACCTCAGAGTACACGTTCTTGTGTATATGTGTAGTTTTAAGATTGTGTGTATGACTGTGCTTGAGATACGAGGGTCTGCATATGATTTTAAAAGCGTGTGTGTGTGTGTGTGTGTGTGTGTACCTGTGTGTCTGCCTTCCTGATAACTGATTTATGTGTGATTTTGAGGGTGTATTTCAAGGTATCGATTGTACACAGGCCCATGCATGCGCAAGGAGGCTGTGTGTACATGCAGGGACTAGCTTGTACAAAGGAAAAGTGTCTGGGGACATGAGTTTGTGTGCATGTCTGTACACCTGTGTGTCATTTTGAAGCATATACCAAGGACGTCACGTGGGTACAGTGCCTCCCCTCCCCCTCTTCCATCTCTGTAGCATACTGTTGTCTAGTGCTCCAGCTGCCTGGGTTGCCATAGCAATGGCTGCAGTCCCATTCCTCCCTACCTGGAGAGGTGCCCCAGTGCCCCAGGCCCATCACAGGAGAGGTTCAGCATGGATACTCTGCTTGGTGGGAACCTAGGCTGATGTGTTTGGATGCTTGCATCCGAGGCTGGTGGTAGGCAGAAAGAAGAGAGGAGCGTATTCTTCCTCCACGCAGCTCCTGACTCTGCTCCAGAGGGGCTGCCACTTCCCCGTCACCACCTGACCCTGGCGACTGGGGCTGGGGGCTTGGGAAACATCCCCCAAATTTCTGGGAGAGGTGGGTGGGGTCCAAGGCGATTCCCCAGCTCAGATCTAGGGCCAGTGCCCAGCAGGCACTCAGATAAAGACATGTTCACTGGAATCCAGGAACAAGGATCCCTGACCCAAAACATGATGATGGGCTAGCCCTTGGTCAGGCCCCCTTTATTATTGAAATCTCACAGAAGGCTTGGGAGGGCAGCTGCAAGGTTATTTTCTCCATTTTACTGACAAAGTACACAGCCAGGAATTAGCAGAGGAGTCTCAAAGTCAAGGCTGACTGCTCTGGATGTGGGTCCTGAGGTCTGTCTTCTGGGCTGGCAAAGACTCAGACTGGAGGAGTCCATGAAACAGGTCACTTGGCGTAAAAGCTGGGGGGTAGGGGGCAGTTGTCTCTCCAGCCTCCTGCTGCCCTTTCCATTTGTAAGTGTACCATGCTTCTTGCTACCCCCATACTCAGGGCTAGGCACTTCCTCCATCAGGGAATATCCTCCATGAGTTCTCTTCCCACTTAATACTAGTTGGGGTAGAACATTAAATATTCCCATCACATTCTGATTTTAGCATTATTGTATGCAGTCTGATAAAAAGAACCATTTGCAAACATGCCCTTAGTGGGACATTGCTTTACCCTTTGATGTCTTTCACCTTTGATGACCGTCACCACTCCAACCACTAGTTCATCTATCACTTCCCAGCCCCAGTTTCCTTCTTGGCAAAATTAGTGTGGCCTGGTTGTTGGGAGCCTGGCCCTGGGCTCAAGTGTCAGTTCTGCTACTTGCTACACTGCACATCAGGCAAGAGAATCTACCTCTCTGAGCTTCAGTTTGCTCATTTATTAGAAACCTACAATCATATCTGTTCCCTAGCGTTCTTGTGTGGATTCATGAGTCATTACATATGTAGGGCCTAGCACAGGGCTTGGCTGTCATAAGTACTTAATGAGTGGAAGTGGTTTCAGCTGGCACAAGGATGGTGGTGGCCACTGATGCCAGGGGGACATCTCAGATGCTCCTCACACGTATGGGGTATCTGAGCCCTTGCCCTGGCATGTGGAGTACTTGGGTGTGAACCCTCAGACACTTGCCCAGGGCAGAGGAAAGGGCAAGAGCTGAGCTTTTCCTCTGCTGGGAACCCCCGGGTGGGATTTGAGGGGGTTTTGTGGGAGCTCAGCTCTACGCTCTGCCCTCTTCTCCTCCAGACTGTGGTACAGACCTCCATGAGCCGGTCCCAGGTTGCCCTGCTGGGCCTGGGTCTGGGCCTGCTGTTCATGCTGCTGCTATATGTGGGGCTGCCAGGACTCCCTGAGCAGACCTCCTGGCTCTGGGGAGACTCCAATGTCACGATCCTGGCTGGCCTCACCCCTGGCAGCTCCCCCATTTTTTACCGTGAGGTGCTCCCATCCCACCAGGCCCACAGGTAGGTGCTTACCCTAGGGTGTAGTAGAAGGACTAGGCCCAAGGAGAGTCCCCGTGTGGGACCCCCCCCAGCTCAACTCAAAGTGCTCAGGGCCTGGGAGGGCGGTGGGAGAAGCCTTGGAAGAAGGAACCCCCAGGACACACACACTCCCCGTGTGCCCACAGGGTGGATGTGGTGCTGCTCCATGGAAAGGCCTTTAGCTCCCGGACGTGGGAGCAGCTGGGTACGCTGCAGCTGCTGGCGCAGAGGGGCTACCGGGCCGTGGCCCTTGACCTTCCAGGTGAGCCCCTGCCCCTGGGTCCAGGGAGGTCACATGCAGCAGGGACAAAGGGACAGCATGCCAGAGGGTAGAACTGGAGGGCTGGGAAAGCCCTAAGCTGTGGCTGGGGCTCATCTGGACCCCAGGGTCTAGACAGGCAGTGGCAAGTCACAACACAAAGGGGCAACGCGAAAAGCTCTGTGTTTTTATTTTCTACCTTGAAAACTACAGTGTGGATTGTTGGATGTCACAGAGCGCTTAGAAACATGACCTTACCAAAAAAGAAAGAAACATGACCTGCCTCACAGAAGATCACATGGGGAGATATCACTGCTCTTTTTATGACAAACTAGGTGGCTTTATGTCTTTTTCAGCTATACAAATGATTTTTTGCTGTTATTCTTGTCATTAAAAAATCAACCAAGAGTGACCCCTCTCAGAGACCCATGCCATTTCTCTCTCGCTGTCACTTCTCTAAGCAGTTTGAGGGTGCCAGATCCTCTCTGGGTACTTTTATACCTAGAGACACAGGGTTATGTGGTGGGGGTTGTAAACATGACTGGTGTCCTGCCTGCTTAGCGAATCTCTCTGCAACCTGGTTTTCTTCCCCTCGGCCGTGTCTCATGGGTCATGTCAGGCACTGTGACCCTCCCTTACCCTAATGTGTGCCGTTGGAGGGATGAACAGGTTTCGTTTGGCCACTCCTCTACCGGTGACTGTGTAGGCTGGTTTCAGTGTCAGTCAAAATGCTCAAGTAAGGAAGCTGAAGCATCTTTGGGCATGCCTCTTCTTTTCTTCTTTTTTTTTTCATTGCTTATTTTATTTTTTGACCACGCCACACAGCATGTGGGATCTTAGTTCCTTACCCAGGGATGGAATCTATGCCCCCTGCATTGGAAACACAAGAGTGTTAAGCACTGGACCACCAGGGAGGCCCCGAACATGCTCCTTTGAGCATATGGGCAATAATTTCTGTAGGGTAGCCATCAGGGACAATTGATTTGTCAGAGGACACACGTTTAAAATTTCTTGACAAATATTATCTTACCCTCCAAAAATGCTATATGGATTTACTCTCCAATCAGTCATGCATGAAAGTATCCATTTTCCCTCATCTTCCCTAACACTGTGTATTATCAAATTTTTTTTTTTTAGTTTGACTCTGCTGGGTCTTAGTTGTGGCACATGGGGTCTCGTTCTCTGACCAGGGATTGAACCCAGGCCCCTTACACTGGGAGCATAGGGTCTTAGCCATTGGACCACCAGGGAGGTCTGTATCAATCTTTAGTTTTGCCAATATGATGAATGAAAGATGGTTTTCTTAACAGCCCTATCACCTTACAAAAACATAACTTCTGAGGATTTGGGAGTAGCAGATGTTATGCGCCACGGGTCCCCATCTCTTTGACCACTATGGTGAGCAGGAAGTCCTGACCACCTTCCCAGCCTCCCTCAGCTGGTGCCTTCTGCTGTTCCCAGGTTTTGGGAACTCAGCACCTTCAAAGGAGGCAAGCACAGAGGTAGGGCGGGCAGAGCTGTTGGAGCGAGTGCTGCAGGACCTAAATGTGCAGAACGCCGTGTTGGTGAGCCCTTCACTGAGTGGCCGCTATGCCCTGCCCTTCCTGATGCGAGGCCACCACCAGCTGCGTGGATTCGTGCCCATTGCACCTGCCTCCACCCAGAACTACACCCAGGAACAATTCCAGGCTGTGAAGGTACTGGGAGGAGGGTCCCTGAAAGTCCTGGCTTCCTGTCCCTGGTTTGGGTCATGGGGGGAAAACACATAGGTTGTACTTGGAGGACACATGGCCTCATCCTTGATCTGGATGGAAGAGATGGGGTGTATCGGGAAGATATCCTAAGGAGGTGGCTTGAGGGTCAGTCCCCCTCAGGCCCCAGGATCATGGCCCCTTGCCTTGCCCTGCAGACCCCGACTCTCATCCTGTATGGGGAGCTGGACCGCACCCTGGCTCGGGAGTCACTGCGGCAGCTCCGCCATCTGCCCAACCACTCCACGGTGAAGTTGCGCAATGCAGGCCACGCCTGCTACCTCCACAAGCCACAAGACTTCCACCTCGAACTCCTTGCTTTCCTTGACCATCTACTGTGAGCTCACCCACTGTCCAGGCCCCTGGCCTGGCTTGAACTTGGAGGGTCTGGACCAGTCCCCACCAGGGCAGCAGGCCCTGTGATTAGAGGGCAGAGGCCAGAGGGCTAGACCCAGTCGGGACCTTTCATTTTATCTCAGAGGCACAATTAAAAAAAAACAAAAAAGCATTTTTGTCATACCTGGGGAGTGACAGGTCCTGTTTGCTGGCATTGCTGCAGGTGGGGTGAGAGTTGGAGCCAAGTGTGGGACTGCTCGGACTGAGAGCTGGAGGGACTGCTCCAGCAGCCTGAAAAGGCTAAGGACATAGGCTACTTACTAGATGGCTGCTGAGTGGCTAGTCTGTGACTCAGTTTCCTCATCAGTAAAATGGGCATGATGTAACACCTAGTTTAGAAACTGGTTTTAGGATTGAATGAGTCTGGGTAAGCAGAGCACTTGGCCACACAGGGCTGGCAGGTGGGACTGTCATTGAGAGGGGTCATTATTCCTGCTAAATGATCACTGGGATTGATGGGAAATCCAGGGTCTGGTGGCTGAGATGAGTGAATCAGGATGTAGGTTCCATGGCCAAAAGGGGCAGGATGTGTAGAGGAGGGGATGGGGAATGTGGTTTATCTTGTAACATAGTATTGGGGAGGGGGAAGTTTCCCCCTCTCCCCATCTTGAGTTCTTGGTTGGACTAACAATAAAACTGACACAGAACAGATTAACAGGAGAAAAAGAAATTTTAGTTGTGTGCAAGGAGGTCTCATAGAAATGAGACCTAAGAAGTGACCAAAGCAGGCAGCTTTCATACTTTTTAGACAAAGAATACATTTGTGAGGACTTGACAAAACATATTTTGGATGCTCAATTAGTAATGACTCTATTAATAAACAGAGTTTGGGCTTGGGGGTAGTAAATTAAAAGAAGTAACAAAGTTGGTTTATAGAGGCTTCTTGGCCAGCATTCCCTATCTCTGGAGATAAGGGTGTCCTATCTCCAGATCCAAGGAATGTACCTTTCACAGAGATTTCTTTCCTGCTTTCAGGGAGACAGAACGGAGGGTCAGAATGTCCCTCCTGCATTGGACATTTCTTAAGTGACTTTAATTCAAAATAATCAACATGCCAACAATAGCATTGCTGGTGAACCAGCAAGCCTGCTTGTTTCTGGGAATATATGGGTCAGCAGCTGAACTTAAACCCCAGGAGGGTTGGATGGACCTTAGCCTACCTTCCTAGCCTGCCTCCCCTGTGCCCAGAGGTTGAAGTCTTCAACCCCACCCCTCTCCAAGCTGAGTCACCCTCTGGAACTGGCTGAGTACAGAGGACAGCCGGGCACACAAATGGGCAGCTACAACTGTGTGCAGCCTGTGGGTGGCCAGTGGGACACCTGTGCCTCTTTTATCATCCTTCTTCGGTGGCTGCAGAAGAGCCAAGGAACCTGGCACAGGATCAGCAAAGAATGTGCCACACGGATGCATCTGTGCAGTTTCCTACCTCTCCCTCTGTCTACAGCGTCACGATTACATCCTCTCAGCGTGCCATCCTCTGTCACATCCACCATCTCACATTCACATGGTCATACACAGTCACCCACTGACACACAGCTTTGCCCACACAGCGGCGCGATCACACAGGCACTCATCCGTTCACTTATCCTCCGTGCCTGGCACGCCGTCCGTCTGCCCTGTGCCCTGCCAGGAACAGGATCCTGAGGGTACCTGGACCAGCCTCCTGGCGCTCACAGATTGTTAACCAGTAAACCCCTCCACACAGGGAGCGCTGAGGCCGTCCCTAAGGAGTTGAAGCGTGAAGAGGGGAGTAGAGACTCGCGGGAGCGGGTGGCGGAGCAGATGGGGACCAGCTCCAGCAGGACTTAGCGGGACTGAACCCTGAGAGCGAGGGGGCGCCCAAGCGGGCAGTTGCGACGTTTCCAGCCGGTGCCCGCCCCCTTCTTTTCTCGCCCAATCGGGAGGCTGCAGGAGGTGGGGCCGGCTACCCAGAACCGAGGGCGGGGCCCGGGGCGTGCCCTACTGGGCGGGACTGGGCCTGCGGGGGCGGGGTCAGCCCGGAGCTCGCCTCCGGGTGCCGGGCGGAGCTGGTGGCGGAGGCAGCTGTCCCGGGGCGGGCCTCTGATCCCCAGCCTCAGGTAACTGGTGGAGGCTGCAACCGCTGGCTGGCGGGAACGCCCTCTCCGACTGGGCCTTAGAGTCTGGAATGGCCCTGATTCGCATTCTTCGGTTCCGCCCTGCGAGGTCCGGCCACGTGGTGGGCGGACCTGGGCAGTTTTGATCCTGAGACCTCACAGGACCCAGAGTCCAGGGCGGACGCCAAGCGGCGAGCGCGGGCCAAGACCAACCGAGAGCGAGGTGGGGGGCCTTGGAGAGGGGTAGCGGGATCTGGAGCTCCCTGAAGTGAAATCCAGGCAATGGGGAAATTTCTTTTCGAGAAGGGCGGCGGGAGTCAACGTGTGGGTTCAAACGTGGCTCAGTTACTTTCTAGCTGTCTCTGAGCCTCTTTTTGCTTTTCCTCTGTAATGTGTGCATTCAGAGGCACGAACTTCATGGGGCTCCTTGGGGGATTAAACAAGGAACTGTGTTGAAAGTGGCCAGCACAGTGCCTGAAACAGAATGGGGGCTCTGTAACGGGGGACGTCCGGGGAGCCGCCCTGGGGAGGGGCGCGTGCAGATGGAGTCCACTTGCCCCAGGTGCGGGGAGTAGGCAGCCACTCGCTTTCCCCCCAGCTCACCACGGCAGAGCCGCACCATGGCCAGCGAAGGTAGCGAGGGTGAGCACCCATCCGTGACGCTCTTCCGTCAGTACCTGCGCATCCGCACCCTCCAGCCCGAGCCCGACTATGGTGAGAACGCGGCGGTTTCAGGACCTGTGGTGGGGCTTCAGGGACGGACTATGCTCTAAACCCAGGCAGCAACCTCTGTCACCCAGTTGAGCATAATCTGCTGCCTCAGATGGCTCCGCCACTGCTCTAAGTCGTTCCCTGGGTCAACAGACTTCTCAGCAGCCCCTCCAGGCTGTGCTGCTCCAAAAGTTACAACCGGCGTTTAGATAAGGAACATCTTCCCCCTCACTCCCCAGGACTTGCGGTTGGGGAGGAGAAGCAGAGGCTCCCGGAAGTCTTCTGGGGTTGAACAAAGGCCACAGCCCTTAAGTTCTCTGGCTTGGTGCCAGAGAACTGTGTACGTAGGTCCAGTTCAAATCCCAGCTGGTGAGCCTTGTGTCTCTGAGTCAGTTTCACAGATTAAAGAAAAAAAAATTATGTATTTAACTGTGCCAGATCTTACTTGCCATGTGTGGGAGCTTTCACTGCAGCATGTGGGGATCTAGTTCCCCCTACCAGGGATGGAACCTGTGCCCCCTGCATTGGGAGCCGGGAGTCTTAACCACTGGACCACCAGGGAAGTCCCAGTTTTCTCATCTTTAAGGAGGGTAACAATGACACTTGCTTCTCACTCTGGACTTCCCACCTGGCCTTCCACAAAGGATCACTGGCCAAAAAACATCTTTGGGGACTGAGATGCAAAGGTCTGTTATGGATGAGGAATTGTGTGGAGGCAGGTGTCTGCTCCCCTCTCTGGATGTTCCCCGGATCTCTACCTGGGCCCATGGGAGGTGAGGATGGGTGGGGAGGCAGAAGTAGCAGCCAGGCTCTCTGTGTCCCCAGGGGCAGCTGTGGCCTTCTTTGAGGAGAGAGCCCTCCAGCTGGGCCTGGGCTGTCAGAAAGTGGAGGTGAGCGTGCGGCGCTGCATGGGAAGGGGGAGGTGGGCCTGAAGCAGCTTCTCGCCCTGCACTGACTACCCCTCCTCCTGGCCCTCTCTAGGTGGCACCTGGCCGTGTAGTGACCGTGTTAACCTGGCCAGGCACCAACCCCAGACTCTCCTCCGTGTTGCTCAACTCCCATACGGATGTGGTTCCTGTCTTCCAGGTGTCTTGGGGGTGTGGGGGTGTGGGAACACAGTGTCCCAGAATGGAACAACCCTTGTGGACAAACTACAGACCTGCCCATTCAACTGCAGAGAGACCACAGTGCTGGTCCTGGCAGACTTGACCTCATAGAGCTTTACTCCACTCCGGCAACCTCTGCCCAGTAGCCATGCCATGCCAGGGTGGGTTGGGGATGCTGGTGGTGGAGGTGGGAGGCAGAGATGAGGGATGACGGCTGTCAGCAGCCCTCTTCAGGGCAGGACCACAGTTGAGCAAAGTAGGTTAATGACTACATTTGGGGCTTGGGTCCTTCTTCCTGCCCCTGCCCCCAGGAATATTGGAGTCATGATCCCTTTGAGGCCTTCAAGGATGCGGACGGCTACATCTATGGCAGGGGTGCCCAGGACATGAAGTGTGTCAGCATCCAGTGAGTGTCCTTCATTCCCAGTTTCCTCACAGGACCCAGGCATGATCGGAGAACCTCAAGGCCAAGGAACATCTTGACCCCTTACCTTGGGTGGGAATTCCTGCTATGACCATTGCCTGGCTGGAGAGATGGGGACAGAGACTTGCTGGAGTCACCTGCTAGGCTGTGGCAGAGCAGGGCCCAAGGCTCCAGCCTGCCTGCTCAAGCATCTGATGGCTCCCCCCAGCACCCAGCTTACACCCTCTCCCTGCCCCTCAGATACCTGGAAGCTGTGAAGAGGCTGAAGGCTGAAGGCCACCATTTCCCCAGAACCATCCATTTGACTTTTGTGCCAGGTAGGAGTGGCTGGTGGGGGGCACCTTCAGAGGCAGGGAGAGCCTGTTGGGGGTACCCACCCTATCTCACATTCCTACTGCCTTTACAGATGAGGAGATTGGGGGTCACCAAGGCATGGAGCTGTTTGTGAAGCGGCCTGAGTTCCAGGCCCTGAGGGCTGGCTTCGCCCTGGATGAGGGTGAGGAGAGTGGCAGGCCACTGAGCAGCCAGCCGAGGGTACGGAGGCTACTGGTGAAGGCTGGGCCACTCCACCCTCTGAACCGCCTTTTCCTCCCCAGGCCTGGCCAATCCCACTGACGCCTTCACTGTCTTTTACAGTGAGCGGAGCCCCTGGTGTGAGTATGCACTTGGAGTGTGGGGATCACCGTGCAGATGGGCAGCTGGGCCAGCAGGGACAGGGGTCCGTCTGCCCAGGGCTCCCCAGCACGTTGGGGCCTGAGTAGGCCTTGAACCCAGGGCCTCTGCCTCCCAGCCCCTTCCTACCCTGGCGTCTCTTTCCTGAGCTTGAGTGGAGGTCCTAACTGTAGGCAGAAACCAGCTCTACCCTATGCATTTTGAGGGGGACAGAGCCCTGCCTGAGGAGTTTGGAAGGAGGGGGAAGGCCACGGGCCCATCTCGGGGCTGGTTGCTTTTCCACCCTGTCCCTTTCTGAGACCACCCCCTTCCTCCTGCTGCTACCAGGGGTGCGGGTCACCAGCACCGGGAGGCCAGGCCACGGCTCGCGATTCATCGAGGACACGGCAGCGGAGAAGCTGGTGTGTGGCCCCCGGGGAGGGGGTGTGGGAGTTCCCGAGGCTCTGTCCTGGGGCCCCTGTTACATGTCACCTCACACTCCCCTAGCACAAGGTCGTGAGCTCTATCCTGGCTTTTCGGGAGAAGGAGAGGCAAAGGTGAGGCAGACAGAAAGGGCACGGGGCTCTGGGAGGTCCTGCAAGGGAGGAGGTAGGGTTGAGCCACCTTTTTATCTGTTCCTCCTTGCTGCTGGCTGCCCCTGCCCTCTCACCACAGGTTGCAGTCAGACCCTCAGCTGAAGGAGGGGGCTGTGACCTCCGTGAACCTGACTATCCTAGAAGGTGGTGTGGCTTTTAACATGGTGCCTGCCACCATGAGTGCCAGCTTTGACTTCCGCGTGGCCCCGGATGTGGACCTGAAGGTGCCACCTCCACCTGGGTTTGGAGGAGGGAGCCTGGGTCCTCAGCCCAGTCCTCGGGGTCAGCTCACCTCCCTTCTCGTAGGCTTTCGAGGGGCAGCTGCAGGACTGGTGCCAGGAAGCTGGCGAGGGGGTCACCTTCGAGTTTGTTCAGGTATGGACGGGGGGCGCCTACGATGGGGGAGTCATAGGAGCTGGGGAGACTGGGTTTGCTGCGTGGGTCACTATACACTTGGTGTGTGTGCATACATCCTGACATTTTAGCTGTGAGATATGTTTTATTAACCAGCAAGCATTAGTTGTAGAGGCTACTGTTGGGTGCTGGGGAACACTGGGGAGTGGAATTAAACAAGAATTTTTGCCCTCAATTCTTATAGCATGAAGAGAGGAATAGACGTGAATCAAATATGAACACATGTGATCCAGGAAAGGGTGGGACCTTATACTGTGTGGACTTGTAATTGGAGTCTTTGACCAGACTGAGGTCTGGGACTACCTTCTTGAGCAAGGGGCACTTGGGCTAGGATCTGAGGACGGATGGGAAGTGGAGGACAGAGGTCCCTGGCCTGTGGCCTTTGAAGGACTGAAAAAGGGCCTATTGCTGGACGTCTGGGTAGGTGCGTGGGGGTGTGTCCTGTGCCAGGCACAGCCTACTCTATAAAGAATAGGGCAAGATGTCCAGACTCTGTCCTGATCCTGCCATCCTTCTCCCCACAGAAGTGGTCAGAGCCCCAAGTGACACCTACTGATGACTCAGACCCTTGGTGGGCAGCATTTAGCAGGGCCTGCAAAGACATGTGAGCACGCTGGCCAGCCCTCCTCTCCCCTTCCCCTCTCTTCCACCTTCCTTTGCTCCTTCAATCCTTCCCTTGCCCTCCCTGCTTCCACATTCACCAGAACATTCACATTCACCCTTTACAGGAACCTCACTCTGGAGCCAGAGATCTTCCCCGCTGCCACGGACAGTCGCTATCTTCGTGCGGTGAGCCGCTCACAAAAGGGTGGGCAGTGGATTGGTTCCTGGGTGCTGGCCTTCCCGCTGATAGCTCCCCTCGTTCCCTGCAGGTAGGGGTCCCGGCTCTGGGCTTCTCACCCATGAACCGCACGCCCGTCCTGCTCCACGACCACGATGAACGGCTGCACGAGGGCGTGTTCCTCCGTGGGGTCGACATATACACTCAGCTGCTGCCTGCCCTGGCCAGTGTGCCGGTCCTGCCCAGTGAAAGCTGAGCCCCGCGCAGTCCAACCTCCACCCTGGACCACTGCCAAGGAGCTCTCTTCCCTCCTGCCCTACAATAAAGTCTCTGTGAACTGGGGCCACTTCCGAAGTACTAACAGCAAGGATGTCTGTGGAGCAGGGTTTCAAAGATAACAACTACTTCAGAGATGAGGGACCATACACCATATGCCGTACCTGTTGCCCTGGTATATCAGTAACTCCTTTTGAGCTTCCCAATGCCCCAAGTGACCACCATACTCAAAAGCCAGTCTTGAGGATCTAGTGTGACTATGCCCTTCACTGGCTGCTCTGGGACTAAGACAGCAGGCTAAACAGCTGATCCGGGGGTAGAAGAAGACAGCAAAGTCATACAAGTTAAGGTAGTGCCACCAGTGCTTGGCCTCCTGGGAGCCCATTCACCTCAGAGTAGTGAATGCTGCCCAAGCCTGCTAGGAACCTGGAAATCCTCAGGCCAGAGTGCAGAATTCCCCTTTCTTCTGGGTAAGCTTGAAGACCTGACAAAGGTGTTTGGGTTTTTTCTCTTTTCTCACAATCCTGCCCAGTCCAGCAACCTGTGTGTCCCAGTATCCCAGAGACACACACCCACTCACTTACTAGGTCCCATTCTTGCACTTCAAGGCCGTATTTCCCCGACTCACACACAGTACCAATCCAGGAAGGCTAAAACTCTACTCCCACACAAAACATTGGTACCTACCCAACCCACACCCTAGTTCCAGCCCTGGGATCATAGACACAGGCTGACCAACAGATCCTGTCTCAGATTTATTTGTACAAATAGCACAGGAGGACACCAGCCCCACACAGACAGCAGCCCAGGGGGTCACACCAGTCCTTCTGTCCTCACACCAGCAGATGAAGGTCTCTACTCCGTAGCTTTGGTGGGGGCCTGGGCACCCTTGGCAGCTGGAGCCGCAGCTGCAGGTGGCTTGGCCTTGGTTGGAGCCTTGGCCTGGGACTTTGGCCGGCAGAACCTGAGACCCTTGGCGATGCGAGCACGAGCACGTTTCCCAAGCTTGGGATGAGCAATGTAGGCAAGTCGGCTGAGCTTGCGGCTGCCGCCTGTTGGCATCTTGGGCTTGACCTCCTTGGGCTTCACGAGGGCCTTGACAGCCTCAGCACGTGCACTCATGGCCTTGGCATTGTTGGCCTGCATCTTCTTCAGGCCCTTCTTGTTGTGCTTCTTGGCAAAGCGCATGTTCCTCAGGAACTTGGGGTCTACCTGGTAGACAAGAAAAATACAAGCAGCTTTAAGTGCAACATGTAAGGGCCAAGTCAACCTTGGTCCCCCCTCTCTATAGCAGCATCTTGGAGACTATCAGGCCTATTGGGAGTCGAGACAGCATCAAGTCAACCTTAAATGCAGAAATAACCTGAGCCTTAGAAACTTATCTGCAGAGAAACATGTACCACCACCCCAAAAGTCAGTAATGCCACCCTGCTAATTCTATACACAGAACACATTTTCAGAGCTACATGCCCAGAGCCCAGTAGAGTTCAAATGCAGGCGCAGAAGGAAAGAAGAAATTCCTACAGCATGATTTTGGTTGAGTCTTCCCCAAAATCCCCCTCAAGGACACCCCACCCCCTCCTCCTTAAAAAATGTCAAATACCAAGGTTGGTACAACAGATTCACAGCAAACAAGGCGTAAGAGACTAACGGAGGGAAGAGGGGGAGGGGGAGGGACCAATGGTACAGGGGAGAAGCAAAGTGGGGAGAAGGCACAGTTCTGCTCAGACTACACGGCATCAGCCTTCCTGGCTAATCATTAGAGAACTCCCTAGCACAGGAAGGGAAGCTGCCCACCCTCCCAGCCTGGCACTGGATCAGATCAAGTCATATGGATGGTCAAAGTGGAATGTAGCTCACAAGGTACCAGGTACACACAGGCAAGGCCATCCTTTCCCTTGAAAGGCTCTAAGTGACCAAGGTAGATGATCAGACCGCCCTCAGGTAGCAGGTTAACCCCTGACCAGGAGATTATACCCTAGGCCGATAAAGGCCAAGTAAAACTTTCTTACGGGCCTGGCAGGGCTTGAAGTCCAAGTAAAACGAAGGACAGTTAAGCACAAGAATGAATGAAAGACCCTGTCCGTGCAACTGGAGCCAAACAGACACACTCATGTGATTCGGTGCACACACTCACCCCCTTAAGAGATTCATATCGCTGTGATCGAGGTTTCTTGATGCCGTTTCTATGCCATTTTCGGGCTGCGGGAAAGGAAAGGAATTAGACCAAAGTAAGAGATTTCCTCTAATATGACAACCATCACAGCTGGCAAGACGGAGAGAACCATAACTTCCCATTACTTAATATTTGTTTAAGAAACCCTTTATCACTGAATGCAAATGGGTATGTGGAGGCTTGTAAATGTAAACTCCAAAGGTAATGCTGAAAGTAACATCAGCCCCATGTGCACAGTAGAAAATGTGCCTTCTTTCCCTGGCCACTATCCCTAATCCTTGCTTGGGCCTGGGGCATTAGGTGAAGGCTGGGCCAGGGAACTTACACTGGTTGTGCGTGGTGTGGTTCTTGGACTTGGCCATGTCTGCACCTGGAGAACGAGAGTGGAGATCAGAGCTGGGGGCTCGCCAGACTGGGTCTACCTTTTCGCCCTGATCTAGAAGATTGTGCAGCCAGAATGAGGCTGCAGCACAGACGCATGTGTCTCGATTCACTCTGCACGACCCGACGCCAGTCTCCCCCTTCCAAACTTAGGTAAGTGTACCTTGAAACCATCCCCCAGCCCCAAGATTGCGCTCTCCCCCTAAATCTGATTTTCCCCACTCCCATCCACCCGGTGAAAACCCATGAGCACCGCCCCCGCCCCGCGGCCTCCGCTCCCCACAGCCAGGCGCCGGTCTCTCAATCCTCGCCAGGCCTCGCGCCCCGCAGCCATCCAGGAGTCACGGATGGCTTCGGATACGGCGCGACCAACACTCACCAGGGCCCGCAGATGCCGAAGCGCGTGGGACCGGAAGAGAAAGGAAAGCCGCGGTGCAGCACGGGAAATAGGCTCGTCGCAGCAGGAAGGCACTACTGGAAAAGCTTCCCTCAATGCTGTGAAGAAAGGTTCCTAAGCCCGGAGGATACAATCTCGACAGGAAGGCGAGGCTAACAAACCGGGGTGGCTCATTCAGGTTTTGCCTCCTATTTTTCCTGGACTTGAGTCTCAGGTCTCATTAAAGGTCTTGAAGGCGACGGGAGTCCTTGGGGAACACACGTTAGGCGGGAAGTGACAGGAAATTCGTGTGCTGAAAAAAGTACCCCTGGCTACTGTGTGGAGAGTGAACTCTAGGGGGCAGAGGAGAGGAGGCAGAGCTGTGAGGAATCTGGGACAGGACTTTACCTGGAGCTGACTGGAGACTCGAAAGGTGGATAGGAGTGGATAAAGAAAGACAGTAGACTGGGCTTAGGAGGCAGAAGGTTGGGGAGACAAAGAAGGCCAGTGTAGCCCTTCAGTTGAAGATCGTGCCTTCTACAGAAATGGGCAAGAGTGGGGGAGAGACAGGGGTCTTGTTGCTTTATTCTGAGGGAGCCAATGGCTCGAGTGTTTATTTAAAAAAAAAAAAAAACTTTAAATTTATATTGGAGTACAGCCGATTAACAGTATTGTGAGAGGAGTTGCAGGTGCCAAGGAAAGTGACTCAGCTATACGTATACATTAATCCTGGATGTTTTCTTTTTAGATGCATTGAATGTGATATGTCTGTTGATACCCAAAATGAGTAAACATTGCCTCCTGATAACTCTACTGCCCTGTCACGTCTTACCCCTACAGTTTTTTTTTTCCCACACAGTAGTGGAGTCTGAGGGCACTTCTCTTTATTTTTCTGGCCGCACCATGCTGCACGTGAGATCTTCCTCCAAACCAAGAGTTGAACCCCTGTCCTCTGTACTGGGAGTGTGGAGTCCTAACCACTGGACTGCCAGGGAAGTCCCTGAGGGTACTTTTTAAGATACAAATCAGATCTTGTCACTTAAAGTCTGCAAGGACTTCCCCTTGCATTAGAGATGAATTCTTTACCTCCCCTAATCCTGGCAACTCATCATTCACTTCTCTCCACCCCCATGGACTTCTTTCTTTCCTGCCAGGCACAAATACTTGTTCCTGCTTCAGGACCTTTGCAGTTGCTATCCACTCCAGGTGGACTGCCTTCTTCCTGCTCTTTGGATGGTGTGCTTACTTGAAGAGGCCTCCCTAGACTGCCCTATCTAAAATAGAGAACTTCTGCCCCATCTCCGCAGTTACTCTCTGTCCTTTCATTCTGTTTACTTCCTTCATAGAACTTTCCCAGCCTCTAATTACCTTTTTTATTTACTTGTGTATGTGTGTTCATTGGCTCAAGCACCATGAGTTCAGGACTGGTTTGGTCACTGTCATTTTCCATTGCCTGGTACAGCCCTTGATGTAGAACAGGAGATTGAGGACCCTCTATTCCCCCACTGACACCCCCCCCCGCCCCCGACCACCCTGAATGGACACTCCTTGCACTCCTTGGCAGGCAAGTTCATGGATTGATGGACACATGTTGCAGAGAGTTGGGGAGTGAAAGGGAAAGGAGGATGTGGGGGCTGGACACACAGGCGACTCCTTATTGAAGCATTCCTGAGAAAAGGGAGAGAAATCTGGCAGGTTGAGTTAGGAGAACGAAGAGCGGGCTCAGATGCTCCAGGGGTGGCATCAAAGAAACAATTGAGGGTCTCCCCTTGCGGTCCAGTGGTTAAGACTCCACACTTCCACTGTAGGGGTCACAGGTTCAATCCCTGGTCGGGGAACTAAGATCTCACATGCTGTGTGGCATGGCCAATTTTTTTTTTTTTTTAAGAGAAGGAAAAAAAAGTCTGTTGAGGCCAGGAAGAAAGGTGTCTCTACAGAAGCTAAGTCCTTGATGGGTGCTGAGAACAGGCGGATGAGCTGGTGGGAAGAGGTGGGGGCTATAGGAGATGGGGGTGGTGCAAGGCCCCAGGGTGTGGGAGAGGTGGGCTGGAAGTTGGGGCAAAGAGGGGAAGGTGTTTTTTTTGGTTTTGGGGGGTTTTTTGGCCACACTGCACCTCTTGTGGGATCTTTATTCCCTGACCAGGGATTGAAGCCACACCCTCAGCAGTGAAAGCACTGAGTCTTAACCACTGGACTGCCAGGGAATTCCCAGAAGAGAAGGTTTTGACTCTCACACCTTGAGAAAGGGAAGCACACAGACACACGCTGAGGACTTGTTGCCAGGTTTTGACAGTGGCAGAGTGAGCAGTGAGCAGAGAGCCATAGCAGGATGGGGAGGCAGATTCAGAGGTGGATGACGGCCATGCAGTACCCCTGGAGCTGCTGTGGGGATGGGCCCAGGGCAGAGTCCCAGCTGAAGGGCGAGGGAGGAGCCAATGACAAGGATGAAGAGCTTTAGCTGTGATCTGAGGGGACCATTTTGGGGGCTAAAGGGAACCATGATCAGGAGCCATTGGCCTGCCATGCTTTTCATAGTGGGAAAAGATGGTAGGGCCAGCCATAGGTATAAAGAGAGAATTTTTCTACCTACCTTCCTTTCTTTTTCCCTTTCCTTCTCTCCTTCCTCCTTTCCTTTCTTCTTCCTCTTTCTTCCTTCCTCCCTCCCTCTTTCTTTCTTTCCTCTCTTCTTTCCTCTTCCTCCTCCTTTTCATTCTCCCCTCCCAGTCTGTCTCTTTTTCTCTTCATAAATGTACAAAGAGCTTATACAAGCTCTTCTGTAACCTGATTTTATTCATTCAGTCGTAACCTGTGGACATCTTTTCCTCTTCATGAAAACCTTTTGTAATCCTATTTTATTTTACATGCTTTAAAAAATCTTATTCTGAGAGGAGGTCAATAAACATCACCAAAAGTCAAAGGAGTTTCTAACAAAAAAATCGTGAAGCCCTCAGCCGTTCCCCCAGGGACTCACCCTCTGTCTGTGTGGAGGCTTCTGTGGCATAGCCTTGGGCAGAGCTGCTAGCTGGACTCAGCAGAATGTCTGTCAGCCAGGTCTCTTGTGCCTTGGGCACAAGACAGACATGTGAGGCCCCTGTGACCCAACAAACCTTGGTCTGGGTGGGACTGGGTGTGATGCGCCTGAGCCTTATGGCCTGCAGAGGCGTGGTCTTGTCCAGGCCTTGTCCAGCCACAACCCAACCCACAGCCTGAGTGGGATCCACTAGGGCCTACTTATTGAAATGTACAGGGTCAGGGACATCTGGCGTTATTTTTGTTGTGCTTGGCACTGTGCCAGGGTACCTGTGGGGACCTGATAAATGTTTGCAGAATTAAACGTAAATATTTCACAAATCCAGGCAGATGGCTGAATCAGTGGGCAAGACATCAGTCAGCCTGGAGGGAGTTCACAGAGACAAGTCAGTTCTTTTTTAAAAAATGATTTCTTATATTTCTGACTGTGCTTCATTGCTGCCCAGACTTTTCTCTAGTTGCAGAGTGGAGGCTACTCTCTAGCTGTGGTGCGTGGGCTACCCATTGTGGTGGCTTCTCTTGTGAAGTGCAGGCTCTAGGCTCATGGGCTTCAGTACTTCTGGTGCTTGAGCTTATTTGCTTTGTGGCATGTGGGATCTTCCCAGTCCAGGGATTGAACCGGTGTCCTTTGCATTGTAAAGCAGATTCTTATCCCCTGGACCACCAGGGAAGCCCTATTTGTGGACTTTTGGATGATGGCCATTCTGACCTGTATGAGGTGAAACCTCATGGTTTTGATTTGCATTTCTCTAATAATTAGTAGTGTTGAGCATCTTTTCATGTGCATGGTAGCCATTTGTATGTCTTCTTTGGAGAAATGTCTATTTAGGTATTCTGCCCATCTTTTTGATTGGGTTGTTTGTGTGTTTAATATTAAGTTGTATGAACTGTTCGTGTATTTTGGAAATTAACCCCTTGTCAGTCGCACTGTTTGCAAATATTTTCTTCTAGTCTGTAGATTACCTTTTCATTTTGCTTATGGTTTCTTTTGCTGTGCAGAAGCTTGTAAGTTTATGTCCCATTTGTTTCTTTTTGTTTTTATTTCAATCGCCTTAGGAGACTGACCTAATAAAATATCGGTATGATTTATGTCAGAGAATGCTTTACCTTTGTTCCCTTCTAAGAGTTTTATGGTGTCATGTCTTATATTTAAGTCTTTAAGCCATTTGAAGTTTATTTTTGCATATAAAGTAAGGGTCTGTTCTAACTTCATTGATTTACATGGGGTTGTCCAACTTTTCCAACACCACTTGCTAAAGAGACTATCTTTGCATATTCTTGCCTCCTCTGTTGAAGATTACTTGACTATAGGTATACGGGTTTATTTCTGAGTTCTCTATTCTGTTCCATTGATACATGTATCTGCTTTTGTGCTAACACCAGGCTGTTTTGATTATGGTAGCTTTGTAGTATCATGTGAAGTCTGGCAGGGTTATGCCTCCAACTTCATTCTTTTTCCTCAGGATTGTTTTGGCAATTCTGGGTCTTTTATGGTTCCCTGTGCATTTTAGGATTATTTGCTCTTTTTCTGTGGAAAATGTCATGAGTAATACGATAGAGATCACATTAAATCTG